TGTTTCCAGTTTTGTTGCCATTAAAACAAAACCATAATGAACTCCCTTATTTGTTTTTCTTGGCTACTTCTGCAAATCTATCCATGGGGCAAATTCAGAGCTCTGTAATTACTAGGTCAAAAGGCATGTGTGTTTAAACTTTTTCTTTAAATGTGTTGCCAAACTGTCTTACAAAAACCCTACCAATTTGTCCTCCAACCATTGTCTTATGAAAGTGGCCATTTCTCTAAGCCTCACCAACATTGGGTATTATCAATCTTTCAGTTTCTAAAAAAAAACATGGTAAGTGTAAAAAGGTGCTTGATTGTCTAGTTTCCTGTTTAATCATGAATGAGGATTAGAATCTTTGCAGGATTTTTGGCCATTTGTCTTTCATTTTCTGTGAATATGTGAGCATTCTTTACCCATTTTTCTATGGGATTGTTCATCTTTTGTATTAATTTCCATGCACCTTCTGCAAATTAAGGAAAATAAGCCTTTTTGTGGCACATGTGTGGCAAATACCTTTTTTTCAGTTTGTTATTTTTGTTTTGCTTATTGGTATTTTTGTCCACAGAAGTTTCTAATTGGTATGAGACCTACTTTGTCCATCTGTTCCTCCACAGCTGCTGAGATCTGTGCTCTATCCCTTAAGGCCTTCCCCAGGCTCTGATTAGGAACAAATTCGCCTACATTTTCTTGTATAATTTGTATGATTTTAGTTTTAGTTTTTGTGTTTAAATCTTTGAACCAGGAAGGATTTACTTTGGTATAAAGAACGAGGTGGAGATTCCGTTTAAGTTGTCCCCAAGGCCGGGCACGGTGGCTCACGCCTGTAATCCTAGCTCTCTGGGAGGCCGAGGCGGGCGGATTGCTCGAGGTCAGGAGTTCAAAACCAGCCTGAGCAAGAGCGAGACCCCGTCTCTGCTATAAATAGAAAGAAATTAATTGGCCAACTGATATATATAGAAAAAATTAGCCAGGCATGGTGGCACATGCCTATAGTGCCAGCCACTCGGGAGGCTGAGGCAGAAGAATTGCTTGAGCCCAGGAGTTTGAGGTTGCTGTGAGCTAGGCTGACGCCACAGCACTCACTCTAGCCTGGGCAACAAAGCGAGACTCTGTCTCAAAAAAATAAAAAATAAAAAAATAAAAAATAAATAAAAAAATAAAAGGATGTGTGAATTTTAAAAATTCTCCCAGAATTAAAAGACCCTAAGAAACATAATAGCTTCAGACCCTGGATCAGGGGAGGGGATTGACAAAGCCTGGTTTCAGGCATATCATGCAGCAAATCTGCAATTTAATATTTAATATCTTCCCATGCACATGAAGTAAAACAAGTCTTTCTCCTCCTGTTCTTTTCTCTCGTTCTCCCTCTCCTAGCAGCAGGCTAGGCTCCAGGCTACAAAATGTGATTCCCTTTTCACCTCGCCAGTTTATCTCTTTGAGTTTTTCTGATTAAAAAATTTTATGGGCCGGGCGGTGGCTCACACCTGTAATCCTACCACTCTGGGAGGCCGAGGTGGGTGGATTGCACAAGGTTGGGAGTTCGAAACCAGCCTGAGCGAGACCCTGTCCCTACTAAAAAAAGATAGAAAGAAATTAATTGACCAACTAAAACATACATATACAAAAAATTAGCCGGGCATGGTGGCACATGCCTATAGTCCCAGCTACTTGGGAGGCTGAGGCAGTAGGATCTCTTGAGCCCAGGAGATTGAGGTTGCTGTGAGCTAGGCTGATGCCACAGCATTCACTCTAGCCTGGGCAACAAAGTGAGACTCTGTCTCAAAAAAAAAAAAATTATGGTTTTTATTACAAAATTTAAAAAATCATTATTATAAAAGTAGACAATTCAAAACTATAGATTTTTTTTTTTTAATTCAAAGCCATCCCCTCACCCTGAGAGATAATACCCTTTAAGGTGTATAGCAGGCCGGGCACGGTGGCTCACGCCTGTAATCCTAGCACTCTGGGAGGCCGAGGCGGGCAGATTACTCAAGGTCAGGAGTTCGAAACCAGACTGACCAAGAGTGAGACCCCGTCTCTACTATAAATAGAAAGAAACTTATTGACCAATTAATACATATATAGAAAAAATTAGCTAGGCATGGTGGTACATGCCTGTGGTCCCAGCTACTCAGGAGGCTGAGGCAGGAGGATTGCTTGAGCCCAGGAGTTTGAGGTTGCTGTGAGCTAGGCTGATGCCACGGCACTCCCTCTAGCCTGGGCAACAAAGTGAGACTCTGTTTCAAAAAAACAAAGGTGTATAGCAAGACAGGTGTGCAAAGGACCCTCCCCACCCTGTTATGTCCCCTGCCTTGGGCCGGGATGGTCCCCTCTTCTGGTCAACAGCCCAGTGGGTGATAAAGGCTGAGAGGCACAGAAGGAGGACTCCAGCTTCCTTCCTGGCTGTGTCCCACCAGGCAGGACACCAGCCTCTCTGGGACTGCACCACACTCGTAAATGTGGTGGTGACTGTCCTCCACGACATCGGGAGACTGGGAGAACGAACTGGCAGTGAGGGGTTTCTTACCTCCTGCCCTCCCCTCAGAATCAGACTGGCATGGCCTTGATGGCTCCCCCCCACCCCCATCCCTCCCATAGGTCATCCTGTCTCCTAGGACCCAGACTAACATACAAATTCTGTACAATAAAAATAAGAAGTAAGGCCCAGGTTTCTGTCTGTTGCTATGTATAAAAAGTCTAGACTACACAGATAGTCATGAAATTTGCAGGACGTATTTAGGGTGGTCTGGCTTAAAGCACAGGCTAAGTGCCCCACACAAAATTCATTTTGCAGGTCCCAGCGGCCCCTCAAAGAGCTGAGCTGTAACCCTTCAGAGGGCTGGCACACAAGTGTCTGGAGAAGGAGAGGCAGTTTCAAAACGTGCCCCAAATCAAGAGTCACCTGGGCAGGTATGGGGGTAGCACTCTAGTCGCCTGTCCCAGAGGCGGCCCTGTGCTCGGGGGGGGGGACAGCGGCACCCAGTCGTTCATTCATGGCGGTTAGCGCTTGTCCCAAGGAGCAGCAGGCAGGCCGGCCACGCTGCCCACGCTGGCCCTGGCACGAGTCCGGAAGGTCACACACAGCCACGGGTCACAGACAGGCAGGCTCTGCGGGCAGGGTGAGGAAAAAAGGTCCGTGGTCTCTATTTTTAGGTTTTCCACAATGGTGTGCTTAATTGGGAAAAACCAAAGATATTTTCATCGTGTAAAAGCTGTTGGAGAGTGGGAGGGAAGGTCAGTGCAGCTGCAGCAGGCGGGATGGGCTAACGTGGAGGACGAGAGGGAGTCAGAGGGACGCCTACCTCATGCGCTCCAGGGGGCTGGAGGGAAGTTGTGTCCGTGACCGTGAGGACTCGGGACCTGAGCAAAGGATGGCAGTGCTGATGCATGAGTTTAACTAAGGACATTACATGGAACTGCCATTCCAGGCTGCCAACGGGTCCAGGCTGGATGGAGCAGGGGTCAGCAGGGTCAAAGCCACCCTGGCCTCTGAGGTTTCCTTGTCTCAGGGGTGGCCCTGGGCTAGGACTGAGCAAGCTGGAAAGACGAAGATGGAGGAAGAGCTGGAGCAGCTGGGGTCCAGGGTGCTTCGTCCAGCCCAGCCCATCCTCCGGGCCCAAGCTGATTTGTGACCTCAGGAACAGACCCAGGGACTTCTGTGGCTGCCTCCACTCCCTCCCCAGGCAGGGCTGCTGACATCAGGACAGGGCCAGTCATAGGGTGGGAAGCAGGCGGGGAGGAAGGAGAGACAGGCAGAAAGAGGCAGCAACACAGAGAAAGGTACAAAGACAGGGAGAGAGCCCGAGACAGGCTCAGAAACACAAACTGAGGGGCAGAGAGAGGCAAAGGGAGACAGAGACAGAGAAATGAGAGGCAGACCTACTGCCCACTCATTTGTTTACTGGGAGCAGACAGGGAAGTAGGTACAGGTGGATACAGGCAGAAAGAGGACAGACCTAGAGATGTTTTATAGGAAGGGGCCCAGCTGGGTGCAGTGGCTCACACCTGTAATCCCAGTAACTCAGGAGGCTGGGGCAGGAGGATCACTTGAGGCCAGGGGTTCAGGGCTGCAGTGGGCTATGATCAAGCCGCTCACTGCCCTCCAGCCTGGGCAACAGAGCAAGACTCTAAAAAATAAGTAAATAAAATAAGGGGGGCCCAAATATCAACATGATGAAGGACAAACATTTGCTGTCACTTCCTGTGTGCTTAGCACCGCACTGGATGCTGCAGAAAACAAAGAGGTGCAGGTGAGGTCCCTGTTCTTGCCAGGCACTACCTAGTTGGGAGATCCAGCCCCACACTTGGGAAAGACTAGCAACAGGCTGAGCAGCCTTTCCCAGGTCCGGATGAGGGCAGGCGCTCCTGCGAGCTGAGGTCCCTGCGTGGCTTGGTGGAGGAGCTGCATTTGATCTGCCTCTTGGGGAGGGAGGATAAGGGTTTTCCAGTGGGGAAGATGGTATCAGCGAAGGTGTGGAGGCAGTAAGACATGTCTGGGTACAGTTAGGAGGGCCTTGAATGCCAAGCTCAGGTGGCCGTGGGAGCCCCAGCCATGCCTGAGCAGAGGAGTGAGGCAGGGGAAGCTGTGCTTTAGGCAGGCCTGGAGGGCATCAGAATAAGGTGGAGGAGGCTCCCCAACCCTCCAGCCCCACTCTTGACACCCCTGACCTGCGGTGTGCTCTCCTTGGAAGGCCTCCCCATCATAGGAAACACTAAAACACAGTTGAAGACCCTTCTCCTGGGTCTCCTCCTCCGGATGCCTTCAGGCAGGGACAGGTGCCCCTCTGCTCCCCGAGCCTGAGAGCCGACAGGAAATCCCCCTTGGCTCAGCTGAGTCGAGTCATGGTTTTGACCAAGATCAGAAAATACACTTGGCCCCATCAGCATCTCTGCCTTACCACACCCAGAATTTGCCTGTCCCCAGCAGGAAGCCCCACCAGCTGTGTGGCCTGAGCGTCCAGGCCCTGAGAGAGGAGGAATGGGCCAGGAAGGGGGGTGACAGGGCAGGGCCCATTTGCTTAGAGGTGAGGTGCTTTGGGCTGGCTGGTCATGGAGGTGACTCACTCCCCAAAGGAGGGAGTGGCACAGGGGACAGTAGGGCTGGGCAGGGGAGCCGTGACAGGGAGAGCCTGCCTCTGTCCTCAGTCCTTGGCTGGACCTCAGGAGACCAGGCTGGGCTGGAGGCTGCTTCCTCTTTGTCCCCTCAGGCCCTTGGAGGAGGAGGAGAGAGAACCTCTTGCAGAACCCAGGCTCGTCCCCAGTGCTCAGGGTCCCGCCCGACGGCTGTCCCCCAGGCCCAGCCAGAGCCATGGATAAATTTCGCATGCTCTTCCAGCACTTCCAGTCCAGCTCAGAGTCGGTGATGAATGGCATCTGCCTGCTGCTGGCCGCGGTCACCATCAAGCTGTACTCGTCCTTTGACTTCAACTGCCCCTGCCTGGCACGCTACAACGCCATCTACGGCCTGGGCCTGCTGCTGGCGCCCCCACTCGCCCTGTTCCTCTGCGGCCTCCTTGCCAACCGGCAGTCCGTGGTGATGGTCGAGGAGTGGCGCCGGCCCTCGGGGCACCGGAGGAAGGACCCTGGCATAATCAGGTGCAGTCCCATGCCACTCGGTGACCCATGGCTTTGCCGGGGCTTCCCCACCCCACAGGCACTGCCAGGTGCACCCCCAAGGCCCAATACTGTGGAGGGCTCCCCCCACCACAGGCACTTCCAGGCATGCTCCCATCTTTCCCCAGCTAGGAACCGCCAGCTCACAGACACCTATTGCCAGTTTCCACTTTGGAAACATTTATGTCTGGTCCTACCATTTGCCACCTCTCTGTGGCCAGTGCTGTGAACACAGGACTGATCCGGGATTCCCAAGGATTCCCAAGGCCACTGTAGGAAGGAAGGGAAAACTTCTGTGTCCTCTGAAGGTTTGCGAAAATCAACTGACAAAAGGCAGATTAACAGGAGAAAAGGCATTCCCATTCATTTGAGCATAGTTTTACATGACACAGGAGCCTTCAGAATGAAGCTCCAAGATACAGGACAGGGGAAACTATCCATTGTCATGCTTAGGTCCAACAAAGTGTGGACAGCCATGTAGAAATATGACTGGACAGGCCGGGCGCAGTGGCTCACGCCTGTAATCCTAGCACTCTGGGAGGTTGAGGCGAGTGGATCGCTCAGGGTCAGGAGTTCGAAAAACCAGCCTGGGCAAGAGCAAGACCCCATCTCTACTAAAAATAGAAACAAATTAATTGGCCAACTAAAAATATATAGAAAAAATTAGCCGGGCATGGTGGCGCAAGCCTGTAGTCCCAGCTACTCAGGAGGCTGAAGAAGCAGGATTGCTTGAGCCCAGGAGTTTAAGGTTGCTGTGAGCTAGGCTGATGCCACGGCACTCTAGCCCAGGCAACAAAGCAAGACTTTGTCTCAAAAAAAGAAAAAAGAAATATGATTGAACAAAAGGGTATGAGCTGATGCTAATAGGCTGAGTAGGGACACCAAGCAAGGCTGTCTAGATTCTTCTCAGCCTCTGTGCAGGATTCCTTCCTTCTGGGTGTGGGGCAGGACCCTTACTGGAATGGGGGCGTCCTATGACCTACAGTCAAGCAAGGTAGGTCAGATCATTTCTTTACGGCCAGTTTTTAGACAGAAAGTCAAGGGGGCTGTTAGAGTATTATTTTTAGGTTTTCTGGCTGTCTTGGGGGAAAAGATTCTGGTTTCTGTTCTAGTTTCTATGGCTAGCCTTGGGGGAAGATGAGGGGCCAGAGACAGGAGGTCAGGAGATGGCCAGAGAAAAACTTGCTTCTGAATGTGCTTCTGAGACCTTCCCTTTGGGGTGTCATTTTCTGAGCCCCAACATCACATTTGCCATGCTGGCCGTGGATTATAACTCACCGCACACATGCGGGCCCATCCCACGACATGCACAGCAGCTTTTCACATGTGGTAAGAAGCAACGATTTGCTTAAAGGCTACATCTCTTTTGTGAGCTCCCCGAGGGCAAGGGCCTGACCTGGTGCACTGTGTCCTCAGAGCCTGGCACTGGCTGGTGCCGTGTAGCAGAGTCAGCTGGTGGGATGTAGCGAAGCGCAGAGCCCCCGGCCGGCTGCACACCAAACCAGGGCTGCGCTCTGTGCTAGCGCTCTGAGTGAGTGCATGGCGTCTCTGGCTTCTCACTTGGGCCCTGAGTCTGTTCCTTCGTCCTCAGGGCCCTGAGGCACCTGAGGCACAGAGAAGTTGGGTAGCTAGACCAAGCTCCCACAGCTAGGCAGTGGCACTGCTCAGATTCAAACACAGACCGACTCCACGGCCCAAGCTGAACGGCTGCCGTTGGTGTTTTGGAAAAAATATCTAAGTGTGAGCTGTGGCAGGAGTGGTTTGATGGACGTTAGCTCACTCACCATCTCCTCTCCCCTACTCCCTGACACGGATGGCTGAGATGTTCTCAGACACATCTAACGTGACTCCATAATAAGTCTCCAATTCCACCTTCTAATAACATTGCCCTCCAAAGAAAACACTGGCGTGACCACTGCCTGTGACATATTTATAATGCCCCCTGGGTGGGTCACGTACGCACACACTATTCTATGTTTTGTGTACAATCCGAGTTAGAGCCAGCATCTGCATCCTGTGCACAGCAGCCTGCTTCAACTTCTCGGGGATGACACACTCCCTGTGACTCAGCCTCGAGGCGGGTCTCACGCCTGTGCTCGTTGCCTTTCCTCTGGGGTCCGGTGCGAGCAGCTCCACTGGGCTCCTGCTCTGCGGCCAGCACCCAGCCCAGGTCACCAGCGGGGCAGAGTGAGTCAGGAAAGGCGCCTGAGGCCAGTCAGAGGGGGGCTCTGGGGATGCCCATGGCAGGGGCGACGATTGAGGTGCTGCCCTTGGGAGCATTTTTGGGTAGGGCTGTCTTAGCGTAGGCTCCTCCAAGAAGCAGGCTCTGGAAAGAATGTGATATGAGTGGGCAACTGGGTTCACTCCTGGGGACCCTCTAAGAGGGTGTGTAGGCCACACCTAAAGCGGTCTAGGAAGCTGGTGTTTAGCCACTGTGCCTGTCCCTCTTGGGCTGAAGTTGATTTGGGGGTTAACTTTTCAGGCTTCCAGCCTAACCCTCTCAGGAGCTGAGAATCCTCCAGAGCCCTGGGGCAGAACAAGGCAGGTGCTTGAGGTAGGAGGCCCTCAGGCCCGCCACATGACTAAAACTATCCCCAAAGCCACAGATGCGCCTGGCACAGGCAGGGCACCTGTGGTGCCTGCTACAAGGCCTAGAGCAGGAGGGATACCAACTCCTCAGTGTTCCAATCCTGGGATGCCAGGGGCCCCAGCCCTCCTCCTCCCTGCCCTCTGTTGCTGAGACCTCCATACTGGAAGCTGCAGCTTGATGCAACCACCACCCCCGTAGAATTTCCCAGCCCTCCTGGGAAGTCCATCCTTGCACCTCCCCTGTACCTTTCCTGCTGCAGCTGAATTCCAATGTCCCTTTATGACCCCTCTTTCCTCTGCTCCCAGGTACATGTGCTTCTCTGTGCTGCAGAGGGCACTGGCCGCCCCCCTGGTCTGGATCCTGCTGGCCCTCCTTGATGGGAAGTGCTTCGTGTGTGCCTTCAGCAGCTCTGTGGACCCTGAGAAGTTTCTAGACTTTGCCAACATGACCCCCAGCCAGGTACAGCTCTTCCTGGCCAAGGTACCCTGCAAAGAGGATGAGCTGGTCAGGGACAGCTCTGCTCGGAAGGCAGTGTCGCGCTACCTGCGGTGCCTATCACAGGTAATTGGGGTGGTCCTCCCCTTGTCCTGGACCTCGCAAATGTCCTGCATTGGTTCTGGGGTGGGGTGGGGTGGTGGGGATGTACAGATGATTCCTGAGGCTCCTCCCCTCTCTGGAGACACAACCCAAAAGCGGGTGGTGCATGGGGAGATTCGGAGCATGACACAGGACAGGACAGTGTGGGGCCTTCAACACAGACTCTCCCCAGGTCAAAGACCGGTGCCCATACCCTCCTGGAAGTCAGCTAGGCCCCTCCCGGGAGGCTGAATGGCAGGAAAGTGCTGGAGATATGTTCCCACAATGCAGGTCCTCCCCAGATGCCTGGCTCCGCACAGGTGTCAACTCCATTATCCGGGGGAAAACCCCAGCCCCACCCCCAGCTCGGACTCTGGGTCCCACCGCCTCCACTCCCAGGGCCCCAGTGCTGGGCTGTGCCCATCAAAAATTATTTACGTGGGTCTTCTACACATGGAGCACCACTAGAGCCATAGATAATAAAGATACAACCCCTGCCCTTTGGGCAGTTTCAGGGTAAATGCAGGCCCACGGTGCAGTGGAGGGAGGACCAGTGCTCAGCATGCACTTGATTCGGTTCAGACTGTGACCTTGGCTGTGGCATTGCCCCTCTGGGCCTCAGTGTCTCCTGAAAAATAAAGTAGGGTTTGGTCTCTTCCACCGAGATGGTCCCTGCGAGCTTTGATGCTCTAGCTCTTCTCAGCTCAGTGAAAAAAGCACAGAATTTGCAGTCAAACCAGGGTGAGTTTTCAGCCCCGTTCAGTTTAGCAATGTGTTTGGTTTTCTGCTTGTCCTGTATGAAATACTCATCTTAAATTTGGTGGTGGTGGGAATATCCTGGAGAGGCCAAATGAGAGAGCTTTGTAAATCGTGGGAATCACATCTCTAAATGACAGGGATTCCAAAGAGGCTTTGTGGTTTAGCGAGTGACTTCTCTGCTCCAGGCCCACACCGCTTGCGAGGCCTTAAGCTGGCCTTGAAGAGACTATGGCTTTGGCGGGTGGACAGGAGGAGGAGGTGTCTGCCAACCTCAGAGAGCTACTTCCTCACTCTTGGCCTGGACACTGGTCCCTGCTCACATGCTGGGAAACTGCATCACTCATGCTCCAGGTCTCAGCCTGAACATCACCGTTCCCTGAGCCCGCAAGTTCAGGTCGAGTGTCTCTCCTCTGAATTCCTATGATGCCCTACACGGTTCTCATTATGACACATAGTCACTCATCATCTGTTTAATTGTCTGTTTCTTCTGTGGGAGCAAAGACAGGACCTCCTGTGCCTGGCACAGTGCCTCCCACAAAGCACAGCAGGGATGGGCGCCCAGATGGGAGGATGGACAGCTGAGCACACAAGGGGATGATGAAGGAATGGATTAAAAAGATGAGGGGGGCTGGGGGCGGTGGCTCACGCCTGTAATCCTAGCACTCTGGGAGGCCAAGGCAGGAGGATCGCTCGAGGTCAAGAGTTCGAGACCAGCCTGAGCAAGAGCAATACCCCGTTTCTACCAAAAATAGAAAAAATTAGCCGGATATGGTGGTGCACACCTGTAGTTCCAGCTATTCGGGAGGCTGAGGCAGGAGGATCACCTGAGCCTAGGAGTTTGAGGTTGCTGTGAGCTAGGCGGACACCACGGCACTCTAACCCAGGCAACAGAGTGAGACTCTGTCTCAAAAAAAAAAAAAAAAAAAAGATGAGGGGATGGTTGATGGGTGGATGATGGATACATGGAAGGAAGGATGAGAGCATGGGAGCATGAATGGATAGAAGGAGAGGTGGGTGGCTAAGGAAATGGATGATGGACAGATGGAGGGATGGCTGTGAGGATAGCTGGACGGGAAGATGATGGATACAGAGTCACATGAGAGGAAGGGCGATTGGAGGGATGGGTGGAGGTGTGGTTGGATGGGTGGATGGATGCAAAGATGAGAGAATGAATAGAAGGAAAAATGGATGGATGGTGGGTGGTTGGTAGGAAGGATGACTGGATGAGAAGATGAACAGATATGAGGAAGGATGAGAGGGATAAGTAAAGGGAGGGGTTCTGGAACACCTTTGCGGCAGGTAAGGCACCTGTGCCTCCTGGAACACATACCCAACCTTGCGCCTCCCCACCCTCCAGGCCATCGGCTGGAGCATCACGCTGCTGCTGATCGTGGGCGCCTTCCTGGCCCGCTGCCTGAGGCCCTGCTTCGACCAGACCGTCTTCCTGCAGCGCAGGTACTGGAGCAACTACGTGGACCTGGAGCAGAAGCTCTTCGACGAGACGTGCTGTGAGCACGCACGGGACTTCGCGCACCGCTGCGTGCTGCACTTCTTCACCAGCATGCGGAGCGAGCTGCGGGCGCGCGGGCTGCGCCGGGACGCTGCGGGCGGGGACCCCGCGCCGCTCGACCCCCTCGAGCCCCCAGAACCCACGGAGGGCCTGGACAGTGGGAGCGGGAAGGCCCACCTGCGCGCCATCTCCAGCCGGGAGCAGGTGGACCGCCTCCTGAGCACCTGGTACTCCAGCAAACCGCCACTCGACCTTGCGGCCTCCCCTGGGCTCTGGGGGGGTGGCCTCAGCCACCGCGCCCCCACCGTGGCCCCTGGCACCAGGCTGTCCCAGCACACCGACGTGTAGGGACCCCGCCCCTCTAACAAGAGTCCAGGGGATTTCCAGGCCGTGGGGGCTCGAGGCAGGCAGCCTCAGCCTTGCGGCCTCCTTCCTAAAATAGCCCAATCTCTACCGAGGTTCCAGCGTGGCCTCAGGTGTGCTTCACAAGCTAGCGAGGACCCAGTTCCCATGCGGGGCACCCAGGACTGGGTCTGAGATTCTGCATTTTTAACAAGCTCGTGGTGATACCGACTGGTGTTTGGTTGGCAGGCCACACTTTTTGAGTACGGGAGTCTAAACAGATCTGCCTAGGTTCTGGGCCCTAGATGTCAATTCTAAATAATAATAGCAAGGTATGCTTATAGTGTGCTTGCTGTGGTGTCAGGTATTGTTCCAACTTCTCTATGCATATTAACTCATTGTTGAAGTAGGTATGATGATCAGCCCCATTTTTTAGAAGAAAAAACTGAGTTTAAGTTGCCTAAGTTCCCCGTGTCATTTAATCCCAGGAGGCCTGGCTCTCACTCTGAGCTACCACATTAGTCTGCTGTCTAGATAATTTTGTTTGTGTTTGTTTTTAATGTTCTTGGTTTTCCTGCAGCACTTACCAAAGTTCCTGTAATAAATTCTAGCAAGCTCTGCTGGTTGACTTCCTCTCGAAAGCACTAGCTAGCGCCTTTTGCCGGCTACTATAGAGGAATGGTTTTATATTGTCCTGCTGAAGGGACTTTTCTGTGTTGAAATGTCCAGGGGCTGACCCTCCCAGTTCCCACCTTTCCAAGTCCCACAAATTCTGTTTCTAGCAGCCTCTGCCTGGGCCCGCCTCCTTCAAGGTGCAGCTCCTTCCTTGGCCAGCCTTCTGTCCCTCCCCTTCCCACTCACCGCCAGCCTTGTCCCCACAGCCTGCAGGCCCCACTGTCTGCAGCCTGTCCCCAGAGCTCAGCGGGCTCCCTACTAAGACTGCCCCTCCCCTAGACATTCCCAGGACCTCTGGTCTCCCTTCTTAAGACTGCCCCTCCCCCGGACATTCCTGGAGGCCTCTGTTTGCTGACCTTAGCAAGAAGTTGGCACTCTGATGAGGCGTCCTGGGTAGAGTGCAGTGAGGGTGGGTCACGCAAGCTCCAGGTCCTGGGCTGTGAGTGATCCTTCTGCCTCAGCCTCCCTAGTAACTGGGACTACAGGCGCTTGCCAGAGCACCCGGCTGGGTTTTGTGTATTTTTCTGTTTTTGTCTTTACTTTTTTTTTTTTCCTAGGGCTAGAGAGGGGGTCTCACTGTGCTCAGGCCGGGGTGGAACCACTGAGCTGCAGCTATCCACCGGACTCTGCCTCCCAGATAGCTAGGATTACACTTGTGAGCCACCAGGCCCGGCCAAGTATGGGTATGGGGTCTAGCTCGGGGACAAAAAACCCTGAAATGCCAGTGTTAGATCTGCTGGAAAAACTGCTGCTCAATCTCTGGCAGCCCAAACAGGAAGGGTTTGGGGAAGATCTACCCTGGCTGTCCTCTGGGCCTCGGCCCCTCCCTGATGACTCACTAACACCACCACACACACTCATACCCTGCTATCACCTCCATCAGCACAGATGGTAGCCACAAAAAGCAGACCCGGTTCACACTGTGCTTTTCTACTTTCTCAGCACCTTGGGGCACTGCAGGGGCGCCTGGGCACCTTCACCCCCCTGGAGCCCAGGCCCCTCTATCAGATGATCTCTGCACTCCTGAGCTCTTGCCAAGGGACCTTGTGAGATCAGAAAATCCCTGCAGCTAAGCCTCCCCCGACCTACTGGCTGTGGTCAGGCCATGCAAATGTCTGCAATGGCACTGGGGTGGGGCACGATTTAGGCAAAGCAGTTAGCAGTGATAGGGTGGGGGGAATGGGGAGGGAGACCTTGGAGATGGCCCAGGCACGGGTGAGCTCCCAGCCTGGGGAAGGAGGCTCAGGGATGCGTGTGGCTTTGGGCTCCAAGAAAACAGTATCTCAATCAGTAAAAAGTCGCAAACTGCATACAATACTCTTGCTTTCTTATACTGAGCACTTACAGAGCACCAACTGCATGGAAAGCACTGTGCCAGGGCATGGGGATGGGAGAACACACAGATGGCCTGTCCCTGCCCTCGAGGAGCTCACTGTCTGTTAGGAGGGCAGAGATGGGTATAGAAATAATGATAATCCAAAGCAAAAGGTGTAAGTGATATGATGGAGGCAGACCGTGTGCCACAGGAGTCAGCAGGAAGCATAAGGACCCACACTGGGCAATCAGGGTGGGCTTAGTGGTGGAGGTGCCATTTGAATGAGTCTTGAAGGATGGGGAGGGTTTTGACATATGGATAGAGAGATGGAGGGAGGATGCAGAACACCAAAGGAAGGAACAATAAGAACAAGGCCATAGAGTTGGGCAAAGGGCAAAGCATGTTTCATTTACTCATTCAACAGATATTTATCAAATGCCTGTCCTATCTCAACAGAGCTTCCAGTCTGGAAGGGGAGATGGGGACATGATTAGTGAACAACCAACCAAATGGAAGGGCATGGAGTCCAGCCTGGCAAAAGTATAAGATCCTGGCCAGAGGGTCTTGGTGGGGGGTTCCACCAAGCCACGCTCCCTGACTCCTGTACCCAAAACACACTCTGGATCCTCTGCCCTTGACACCCTTCAAATGCATCTTTCTCCCTCTTCAGTCCCCAGATGGTGTGACTTCAAACCCCAAAACCTCTCCGCCATCATCCATCCACACTGCCATCTGTTCACATCCCTGCAAGAGCACTCCCCACCCCACCTGGGGGTGAGGGACACAGGCAGGAGGCTTCCACCTGGCTCCTAAAGACCCTCCTGTTAGGGACAGAAAAACAAGTGAGAGGAAATGGAAATCAGATAAACAGAGAAGAGAAAGCCAGTATAGAAAAACAACATGGAGGAAATAGTTGCAGAAAAATAAAAAGAGGGAATGAATGGTTATTTTAGTCTTAAAGAATGGGGTAGTTAGGCCATGGAATACTGACCACCAGCCAGAGAATGGAAATGGAACTTTCCCCACAGTACATATAGCATAACCTTTAAGTCACATCCAAACATAGAAAGGAATTCAGTCCTAATTATAACTAACTGTTACCGAAACATAAAGTATATAAAAAGAAAAACGTAGATGTAAACAGTGTCTTCTCCACTCCCAGAAACTGTTTCCCCTTAGGAAATGTACTTTAGCTTTGCACCCTTAAACTTTACTGGCAGTATGTGTGAATTCTTCACACATACTTGCTGAGTGTCTGGGCTGGGCTTCCCAATTCCTCCAAGCCAGGAGCCCAAGAACTGGGCAACACTTCAAAGTCCAGCTGAGGACTGAACCAGGATACTCCTCTCGCAGGAGAGCAGCTGCTCTGGGGCCCAAGCTCATTCCCAAGCCTCCACCGAGTCTGGGTTATAGCCCTCCTGACCCTGTCCTGTATGTGCTGCCTCTTCTGAGAGACACAGTGGCCAACTGGGCAAGGCAGGAATGTACTGGAAATGTGTGCTTTGGCTGTACAAGTCCCCCCTCTCGTGCATGGGGGCAGCTGCCCCCATCTCTGCCAGGTCTGCAGGAGGGGGAAAGATGGCAGCCTAAGGATTCAGCTCAGGCATAACTTTATCCTGCTGGCAGCTGGGTGTGAGAGCCAAGTGCTTGGTGGCAAGGTCAGGAAGAGGGATGATATTTGGGATTTGCCCAGGTGGAGGGGATGCCTGAAGCTGCCAGAATGAATACGGCCATCGAGAGAGAGGGGCTAGGCTGAGCACAGTGGCTCACACCTGTAATCCTACCAGCACTCTGGTAGGATTTGCTTGAGGCAGGAGTTGCTTGAGGCAAGAATTACTTGAGGCCAGGAGTTTGAGACCAGCCTGAGCAAGAGCAAGACCTCTGTCTCTACAAAAAAAAAAAGAAAAAGAAAAAGAAAAAGAAAAAAGAAAAATTAGCTGGTTGTTTGGCATGCACCTGTAGTTCCAGCTACTTGGGAGTCTGAGCCAGGAGAATTGCTTGAACCCAGGGGTTGGAGGCTGCGGTGAGCTATGATGATACCATTGCACTCTAGCTGGGGGAACAAAGTGAGACTCTGACTCAAAAAAAACCCGAAAATACAAGGTAGGTCACATGATTTCTTTATTGCCAGTTTTTACACAGAAAGATGGGCAGGGTGGAGTTAGGGCAATATTTTTAGGCTTTATAGCAGTCTTTGGGGAAAAGGGGTTCTAGTTTCCATGACCCCCCTTGGGGAGGCAGGATCCTAGTGTCCGTGGCCAGCCTCAGGGGAGAATGAGGGGCCGGAGACAGGAGGGCAGGAGAAGGTCAGAGAGTCTTTTGCCTCTGAGGCTGCTTCCAAGGCCTCCATTTTGGGGTATTGTTTTCTGAGCCCCAACAGAATCACGGAACTGAGATGTTAAGGATACAGGAATTTCTCTGGTGAAGAACAAGGTAAAGGGTTCCACCGCTGCTCGGTGGGGCGTGGCCAGCGGAGGGCGTGGCCCGGCGCCAGCTCTCGCGGGGTCCTACAGGCGCTACGAGACTGTGGCCTTCAGCCATCGCAGGGCATTACGTAGTGATTTAATCAGGTGTTCACTTTCTAAAGATTCCATGGGCGCCTGTGTGTGCTGCAGAGGGCAGAGAGAGCTAGGGGGCTTCGATTCGAGGGGAGATGAGGGAGGTGGCAGATTAGAGGTGTGTGGGAGGTAGAACGGGCCCCGGGTGTCCTGCTTAAAATATAACAGGAAGACACTATATTAGTCAGGCTAGACGGGGAATGCAAAAATAAAAGGCAGCCAAAATAAAACCAAAATGTTAGTGTCTTAACACAACAAAGATATATCTCTCACTCAGGCAAAATCTGAGGTAGGTGAGCAGGGGAGGGAGGCTGGGGAGGAGGCTCTGTCCCACATAGTCATTGGGGGACCCAGCTGACAGGCACCCCCATCTGTGACGCCACCATCAACACACGGTGTTTACCGGAAGCAGGTCCTGAGACAGGGAGATGCGTGCAAGTGCTTAGTAAGGAGCCTGCCCCCAGGACACCCTGCAAGGCACAGGAGAGGTGACAGAAGGGCAGGAAGAAAGCCAACCAAGGGTAGAGGAAACAGGCAGTTACTGCTGTGGCCACCAGAGCCCAGTCCCACCAGGGAGCTGGGGAGAGCACCCTCCCCAAGTAATCACAACCCAGTAGGGGAGGAAGGGTGTGCTCCTCCACCAGCCTCCCCCTGTCATTGATGGGGCACTAACTGGGCGCCTCCAGGTTGCCTTGGGCCAAACATAATCCCAATGCCTGGAAAACAAAGTCTCAGGGTTTCCAGTTAGAAGGTGGAGGTGAGGACTGGGGAATGCACAGGGCACAGAGGTCTCCCTGCCTCCTGGCTCCCAGCGTCGGCCTCACAGGACAGAGCAGACAGAGCAGGGAAGACGGTAAGGGGTGGAGGTGGGTTCTGCACCAGAACTCGGGGACATGGCCCCAACCTCACGGAGCGGAGGCTAAAAAATGCAAAGAAACGTGGACTATTTGGTAAGCACACCCATTTTGCCCCAATGTGCTATCCCCAGTATGGCTTGGCCAATGCAGGAAAGAGCAACGCTTTATCCTTCTGAGGCAAAGACCTCACGCCTCTGACCGCACAGCCTGCCAGCACGAGAGCTGCCGTAGCAGCAACTTCTTGCTGCTCAATGCTCCAAGAGCTGCTGGCTGACGACAGCGCACACTTGCGCGCCACATGACCACGCTCTCCTACGCAAATTGGGCATTTCCCTAAAGGTACGGCACCCGCTCTCCTCTGGGGCCCCCTTTGCATGCTGCTTTTCATGACACCCCAACTCCTCCAAACCAGAGGGGACGCACCAGCACCAGGATGGGTGCCGGGGCCAGCGGGCGAGGGGCTGGCGCACATCCCACTCTCCCAAAAACGTGTGACATCAAGCTTTTCATTTACATTTAGTCATGACCTGCGAGTTACAGGGGAGAGGAGGAGAAAACACAAAGCATCACTAACAGCACCACAGAAGACCCCTGCTACCCTAGGCACAAAGGACCCCAAGGGGTCTACAGCGTAATCTCTAAAACCTGTGACAATGTTACTTTCCACCACAAAAGGGGCTTTCAGATGTGATTGAGTCAAGACTATTTAAGACTCTAATGATAATCTCTTCAAATGTTTTAAACATCACCCCCTAAAATTTTGGCCAAGTAGATGATAAATTTAAAGCTAATTTTTACAACCATTCAAAAATTTACAACAGTTCAAATGGTATGTAAAGACTCTAACACCTGTCCTTTACTCTCAGTGACAACTGTAACCAAAACTCTTACTATACTGAGAATGATGGATGAGAATCCAATCAAACTGTGTTAGAGCGAGTATTCTAAAATAACATTGCAGTTAGAATCTGCAAAGTGTGTATGTGAGGTTAGAGCAGGCACCCTGCAGCCAGCGTGGGCAGCACTACAAGGGTGCGTCACCTACAAGCAGGGAGCCGTGTGCTGCAGACAAGGCAGATATTCCAGGTGGCCCCCTGCAGCCGCCCCTCCTGGTTTCCTGCGGGAGCCCAGGCCCGGCCCAGCCCCACCCACCACACTGGGGCCTGTGTGCCAGGCCCTGCAGCACCTCGGACCCCTGTTCAGACAGGCACGTGTTGCTGCAGTAGACACCCAGGGACGGTCATCTCCTTTGCTGGGTCTCCTTCATCCTACCGTCCACCTATAAGTGTCCTCCTGGGGGAGCGCCTGATGAGTGTCCTCCAGGGGCCACTTGCCTGGGAGCTTCAGGGGCCCGAGGCCCAGCCTGGTGGCCGAGGGAAGAAATATCCTTCCCACCTGCATCCTGTTTTTGTGCCACACTAGAGTTTCCACCTGCACTAGTGGAACAGGAGAACCTGATTCAACCGGAAGAGAAAAGCCAAAAAAAGCTTCCCGACCCCTCCTCCTCCCACCCCCGTGAGAGGACCAGCCAATTGCACTCCTCCACCTCCAAGCTGGGTAACCTTCAGCTAATGACGTAATCTCCCTGAGCCTCAGTCTTCCCCTCCATGAAATGGGGACACTAGTACCCATCCCACGGGACTGCAGGAGGGTCACGCGAGGAGATGCATGTAAAGTGCCTGGCTGAGGGTTCTACAGTGTGAGCCCTGGTCAATGCCGGTTCTTATCGGTCATACAAAGGACACCCAGACACAAAGACCACTAAAGTGGGTACACGTACACATGGACACACAGACACAGAGGCCCAAAGCCACAGTGAGCTCACACATGGGCACACACATGGAGCTGCCCCACAGAGACGTCCTGTCCGGGGTCTGCCTCAGCCCAGGCCCAGCCCCTTGCCCAGACAGGAGCCGCCTGACCTGAGGGCTGGAACTGACCACCCTCCTGGGAGAGCTGCGGGCATCCAAGGGAGCCCTTTACGGCCCTCCCCTTTGATGTGTCAGTGGAGGGTTCCCCCACCTGGTTCCAGATGCTCTGGAGGCCCCAGCTCCAGGCAAGAACACCCGTCCCCTTTATGTTTTGATCAGGGGGAGCAGAGGTAGGAGGTAGAGCCAGGAAGGGTTTGCCATCCGCAGCCCACAGACACACCCACAGAGACACAGGCGGGCGGACACAGGGCGCCTGCATCCTGCAGCTCCCCGCCCCGGCACCCTGTCAAGTCCAGGTCTCCTGACGCCAAAGCCAGGGCATTTTGTCCTGTGCCACATCTGCGTTCACGCCACCACCCCACCCCCCACCCCCGTGACCAGTACCCCAGCACCACCAGCACTGGCGTCACCGCAGCACCATACCACCATCGTCTGAGCGATGCAGGGACCTTCTGGGATCCTGATGCCGCAAGGAGGAAAGACCCACTGGGAAGGGAAAGAGGGCGGGTGACACGCTCCCTGGCAGCCCAGGGGTCAAGGTCAGAAGCTCAGACCCCTGCAGCAGCCTGGACTCTCCAAACTCCAGCCGTGCTGGAGACGTGTCCTCCCAGCCTGCGTCCAAGGCTGTCCTCTCCCTCTTTCCCTCCTCCCACACCCCAGAGAGCTGGGCCCTGTTAGGTGTGGCCCTCACGGTTTCCTAGCGCCAGAGGCAAAGGCAGCTGTGGGGAGAGAGGAGCCCGGGAGGGGAGGGAGGGCGCAACCCCGGCTGCACCCACAGGATTGGCCGAGCTGTGCCCTCTCTGCCGGCACCTGACTAGAAGCTTCCTCAAAGCCATAGTGACCTCAGCCGCTGTCCTGAGCTCTGCCGGTGCCAGCCAGGAGGCCCGAGTCATGAGGTGGGCAGGCGGCGGGCAGGGCGGGCCGTCGGGGCTGTCTCTGAGGCAGCGGTGAGGCGGGCAGGGGCCGCCGGGCCCGTGGGGGGCACGATGGACAAGTTCCGGATGATCTTCCAGTTCCTGCAGTCCAACCAGGAGTCCTTCATGAACGGCATCTGCGGCATCATGGCGCTGGCCAGTGCCCAGATGTACTCGGCCTTCGACTTCAACTGCCCCTGCCTGCCGGGCTACAACGCGGCCTACAGCGCGGGCATCCTGCTCGCGCCGCCCCTGGTGCTCTTCCTGCTCGGCCTGGTCTTGAACAACAACGTGTCCATGCTGGCTGAGGAGTGGAAGCGGCCGCCCGGCCGCCGGGCCAAGGACCCCGCCGTGCTGCGCTACATGTTCTGCTCCATGGCCCAGCGCGCCCTCATCGCGCCCATCGTCTGGGTGGCCGTCACGCTGCTCGACGGCAAGTGCTTCCTCTGCGCCTTCTGCACGGCCGTGCCCGTGGCTGCGCTGGGCAACGGCAGCCTGGCGCCCAGCCTGCCCGCCCCCGAGCTCGCCCGCCTGCTGGCCCGGGTGCCCTGCCCCGAGATCTACGACGGCAACTGGCTGCTGGCCCGAGAGGTGGCCGTGCGCTACCTGCGCTGCATCTCCCAGGTGAGGGGCCCACACGGTCTCGGCTGAGTCTGCCCCGCAGACCAGCGTCCCTCTGTGGGGGGACAGGGCCCTCCCACTTCTCAAGATGGGGCTCCCCCTCCAAGGAGCCCCAAGGGGCAGGGCATGTCTTCCCCATGGAGACTGAAGGCAGAGCCATCTGGGGAAGTGCTGTGGCCCCTATCTGCAGGCCTGTCCCTGCCCTGAGGTCCCTGGTGTGGACCCCACATCCTCTGTCCTGCCCTCCGAGCTTGGAGCTAGGGGATTTGCATCCGTTCCCTCTTCCAGGCCTCGGCAGCGGTGAGGCCGAGGGGCCTCGGCTGGGCCATTTGGGTACATTTCCCTGGCAAATGCCCCCGCTGGTGCCTCCCTGCTGAGGGATGCGAGCGAGGGTCTGCACACTCTGGAAGGGCACACATGGGAGAGGGCCACGCACTGCTGGGACGAGACCAAAGGTGGGTCCTCCCCAGGCCCCTCCCACGTCCTGGGCCCTCGGCCCTCACCTGCCAGCCCCTCAGGCCTCCCCTCCAGTCAGTGAGGGGTGGGGAGGACCACCCAGGCAGCGTGTCCCACAGCCGGTGGACCAGGTGCTGTCAGGGAGAGGGGACAGGGGCTGGCTTGCCCTGTAATGGCTGGAGAAGCCACACACTCTGCCAGGGCAAGTCTGGCTCCCCCTCTGTAGCCGGGCCTGTCTCCTGAGAGGCCTCCACCACGCCCAGGTGCCCTGGAGAATCTCACACCGAGTGTCCAAACCGAACTCGGCTTCCCTTCGATCCCGAACCTGCGCCTCCTCTCCTGTGGCCGCTCGTCCATCATGTCAGGCCCCGGGGCCTCGGCAGCTGTCCCTCTACCTGACCCTAAAACAGCCACATCATAAGCTAAAAGGGCCCCAGAGGCCACAGGCTGCCTAGCCCACAGACGTGTTTCATTTGGCCTTCAGAGACTGAATTCTAAATTCGGCTTTAGAATCAGCCGGCATCATCTAAACATCGGAAATTTTCCCATAAAAATCAGATTTCAGTTTCACTGGAAATATCAGAAGATCCAGCCCCACCAGGCGTGCACTCACCCCTCAGGCAGCACGGGGTACCCCAGCCTGCACCCCGCATGTCTGCTGTGCGGTGACCTGCCCGGCTCCTCGTCCCTGTCTTGATCTCAGGACGCTTCTCTGAGCAGGGGGGCCTGAGCCCGGAGCGCAGGCTGCCCCCGCTGCGCTCTGAGTCCCTGGCAGCGCAGAGCTAGCACCAGCACCCGGTGCTCTTCAGCACAGAGTGTGCGTGTGCGTCTGGTTTGTCCCTGTGACCCCTGAAGGCCCAGCTCAGAGCCCGCACGGGGGAGGTGCTCGCTTGGTACTGGTGACAACACCAGGAGCCAAAGGAGAGGTACAGGACTCAGAGGAGGACGGCCACTGTGGCTTCCTGCAGAAAGAGGCACAGCAGTGATGGCTGGTAGTCACCGAGCTCTATGCACCAGGCACCGTGCTCTGTTATCACATTCAGTCCTCACAGCAACCCCGTGGGATAGACGCTATCACCAGTCCCATTTTATAGGTGGGGAAACCGAGGCACAGACAAGTCAGGTTTGCTCCAGGTCAACTAGTAAGTAGGAGAGACAGGATTCAAGCTCAGGCAGCCTAACTCCAGGCTCTGCCCAGGTAACTCCTGTGCATGGGATGCCCAGCCAACATGGCGGGGCTTTACTCACAGGATCTCATTTCCATGAGGGGTATCTCTGTGCCCATTTTACAGATGAGGAAATGGAGGCAGAGAGGCAAAGTCCCTTGCCCAGTCTGTGCCCTTTGCCCCAGAGGCCCTGGCAGGGAGAGAGCTTTGGGGCCTGGCCAGGCTCAGAGGCAGGAGGCTGGTGCCCACTGCTGACCCTCTCCCCTCTGCCCGCAGGCACTGGGCTGGTCCTTCGTGCTGCTGACCACGCTGCTGGCGTTCATGGTGCGCTCCGTGCGGCCCTGCTTCACGCAGGCCGCCTTCCTCAAGAGCAAGTACTGGTCCCACTATATCGACATCGAGCGCAAGCTCTTCGACGAGACGTGCACGGAGCACGCCAAGGCCTTCGCCAAGGTCTGCATTCAGCAGTTCTTCGAGGCCATGAACCACGACCTGGAGCTGGGTCATGCCCACGGGGCACTGGCTGCGGCCCCCGCTGCCTCGGCTGCCGCCAGCCCCCTGGACGGTGCAGAGGAGGAGAGGGACAAGCTGCGCGGCATCACGGACCGGGGCACCATGAACAGGCTGCTCACCAGCTGGCACAAATGCAAACCGCCCCTGCGGCTGGGCCAGGAGGAGCCGCTGCTGGGCAATGGCTGGGCGGGGCATGGGCCCCGGCCCCCACGCAAGGAGGTGGCCATCTACTTCAGCAAAGTGTGAGCCTGGCCGGCTGAGGTGGCGGAGGGGGGTCAGACCCATAGCCCCCAGCCCCCCAGACCAGATGGACAGATGAAGGCTTTAGGTGCAGTAGACCCGGAGCAGAGCCACATGCCCAGGACCTCACCTGCCTATTAGAGGCAGGACATTTGGAGCTCGAAGGGGCCCTCACTGTTCCAGCTGCGAGGCCACCCTGGACGGCCCGGGGCAGTGGGGCCGTGAGCAGTGCTCCTCAGAAGGGTCAGAACTGGCTTGGAGGCTCAGGGACAGAGGGCTCCCACCTCCCCAGCACCTCCCAGGCCACTTCTAGAGCAGGGGCTTCATCCCTCATTCACTGTCCCCTCTCAGCTTCTGCAGACGTCCCTGCCTCAGGGGCCACTTTTGCCTGGGACTCTGAGGATCTCTCTTCCTTGTGCTCAGGGCCCAGGGAGCAGGAGGTGGCAGCCCTCTCGTGGAGGAGGAGCCCTCCGACTGTGGCCTCGGTCTCCTGAATGGGCCAAGGTGGGCCATAAGGACATGACATACGGCCTCACCTTTGTGACACACCTGGGGAGACAGGTGATGAGACAAGATGCCATAAGCTAGGTCCACGTGGGAGAAGCCCATGTGGGAGGGCATGTGGTCACCATGGAGGTCACTCAACGATTGTCCAGGGGACGGACGGCATACTTATCTAGCACCACGCACAAAAGGCCTCTCCTGGAGGGGTCCTGGGAGACCTCCGTAATCCCACCTCACGTCCAGGTCTCAGGGGCTAATTGGACCATCCCCAGAGTTTGAGAAGTTAGAAACAGAAGCCAAGATCTCTCCATTTTTCTGGGACCCCAGCCCCGGAGAGGGGCTGTGAAGTGCTGTGAGGCTCTGCCCCGGGTGGGAATGAGGGTGGAGGGTGCTGGCTAGAGTGGAAACAGCTAGAGTGGGACAGAACTGGGTCAACGCTGTCTCTACCAATTACAAACTATGTCCCTCAGGCAGTTGAGGGACACATCCCTTCATTTTCCATGCCTCAGTTTCCTCATCCATACAAGAAGGATAAGAGCCCCTCCCCATGAAGTGGTCATGTGTAAAAAGCACGTGGCAGAAAGGACACACAAGGAACAGAAACGCTCGAGCCTCCACCTTTGTCGAGGAGGGGGAAACAGAGGCACAACCTTCTCACAGCCCCCAGATGTCTCTGAGACACATGTCCTACCATCTAAGAATTCATCTGGATCTTGGTCGTGGTTCCCATCTTTCCTCGTCCAGCCTTCCCTCCTCCCACTTCGCTTCGGAGGCCGTCTCCCTCCCTTGCGTTACTGGGGTGGAGGGGTTGGGGAGGTCACATCCCTGTCAACCTATGGCAAGTCACCTAACCTCTCTGATCTTCCGTGCAGTGCGTCTGTCTGTGCAAGGACATTAAAGACCTGTTTTTCAGGACTGTGGTGAGGATGGAGGGAGCTAACTTTTAGGAAGGATCCTCGACCGTGTTTGGCACATGGTGGAATCTGAAACAAACAAATAAAAAAACAAAACCAAACATACACTGGTCCCCTTCCCTTCCTTCCCATGCGTGGACAAGCCCAGCGCAGGGAGGCCAGCGTGTCACTCAGCAGTTCTGCCATCGAGGAACCGCAAGCCTCACAGAGCTGGCAGAGCTGGGCGTCGTCTCCCCCAGTGCTAGGGGTCACCTAGGCCATCCTTAGGACTCTCCCCTTCAGCCTCAGCTTGCTCACTCCCACAGATGGGGAGTTCCTGACCACTTTTGGGGACAGGTTGGGCAGCTCTGATTATTACAGGGCTTCCTTCATAAACCCGCCTCCTCGTAATTTCCACCCACAGAGCTCTGCCTCAGGCCTCAGAGGATCCCTGGACTCCTGAATTCGGTGATCTGCCCTGCAGAGATTGGAAGCGGCTCCCAGGAGTTAGCAGAACCATGGATGGAAGAGCTGGCGCTGGGGGCAGTGTGTCCGGCCAGTGGCAGGCCGGCCCTGCGAGAGAAGGGCCAGGAGAGGGTGGGGGGCCCTGGCCTGGCACATTCTCCCAGGGGTCAGCAGTGGTCTGATGGCAGCTCTGCCCTGACCCTGCCAGGGACTCTCGAGAGCTTCTGGGTCAAGCGGGTGGGGGGGGTGGTTGGTGCTCCGGACTGGCGCTGGCGCGCAGCCCAGCCAGGCTGGTCTGGGACAGGGCGGTGGTGAGCAGGGCTGCAGTGGTGAGCAGGGCTGCAGTGGTGAGCAGGGCCGGGGCAGCCCAGAGCGTGCCGGGTTGCTGGGACGGCAGCAGCTGCAGAACAGGCACCTCCATTTCCTCTCCTCTCGCGCCGCCCTCGCCCTCGGCCCGCCCTCCCCGCCTGGCGCCGTGAGGCTGTTTTTCCACCCGCTGGTGCGCATTCCATCCCACTGTTTGCTTCTCTCTTTCTGGAGTTAAATTCCTCTGAAGACGCCACCGGCCCCAGGCCCTGCTGGTCCCAAACAGGGGCCCTGCTGGTCCCAAACAGCAGCTCCCGTGCAGAGAAGAGTGGGAGGACGCCTGGGCGGCAGGCACTTTGGGTGGGGCAGCTGCCCCGCTGCCGCCTGTCCTGGAGGCCACTCGGAGAGCGCAACACTGAGGGAGCCAAGGCCACAGGTGCCTGCAGCTGGCCCCAGGTAAGGAAAGGGTCCTCTCTGGGGCACGCCAGGTGCCAGGGGAGCATAGCAGGGCCCGTCCCAGGCTGCCCAGAGGGATTGTCCTGGGCAGAGAGGCCCCCAGCTGCAGCCTCCACTCTGGGTAGGGTCAGTCCTACCCTCCCCCAGCCGCCTGTCTCCTGTCCTGACTGATGCTGGAGGTCCCCCTGGGGGTCTGAATGTGGCCGGCCCTAGCCTGGGGGCCAGAGGCAGAAGTCTCAGAGTTCTAGCATCTTGGGCCCCACTTTGGGCCCCACAGGGAGCTAATTAAGAGCCTAAAAGCCTAGAAGGGAAAAGGAAGCGGGAGATGGGGCTACCTTTAACCCATTCATTCCCAGCAATGGTACAAACTCCCTTTCCTAGGAGTTAGACTTGAGCCCAGGCTGAGAAGTGGGGGAAGAGGCAGACTCCTCCTCCTCCTGGATCTGGTAGTCCTCCCCCCCACCCTGGCTGCTCCTCGTGATCCTCCTCCTCCTCCTGGAGCCCACATGGCCACATGGCCGCCCATCCGACAGGCTTGGCAGGGGCGGTGTGGAGATGAAGCACAGGAAGAACATGGGCAGATCCCGTGTTTGCTGCCCACCCAGCCTTCCACTCCCTGGCTTCCTCTGGCCTGAGGATTTTTGTTTTTCATCCTCCAGATGGGGAGAAGCATGTGGGGCCACACCCTGGCCTCTCAGGCTTGTGTGGGTGGAGCCTGGGAAGGGAGTTGGGGCTAAACTTCGCAGGAGCCTGGGGCCACCGGCCACTTCCTAGCCGGGTGCCAGCCTGCTGCAGCCCAGACCAAGGCGAGCAGGCTCCAGATTCATTCTCGCCTATGCTTCTTGTGGCTGGCGGGCTGGGTGGTCCCGGGCTGCATGGGGTGGGGCCTGCTGGGAAGCTGCTGAAGAGGAAAGGGGTCAGGGCTGAGGAAGAGGAGCTTCGTAGGGCTCTCTTAGGTGGGCACAGCAAGGTCAGTAGGAGACAGAGGAAGCGGAGGACTCACTGAGCTCAGGCTCACCTTCCCACTTCCCAGGGCTACTGCCTTGTGGTCAGAGTCCCGCCCGGACACCTCCATGTTTGGTATCAAGGCACTTCATCCCCTGCAGGCCTTACTTTCCCCATCTCTGCAGGCTGGGGAAGCGTCCCCACCTTGAAGACCTGACAGGTGGGAGAGAGGGAGGGTTTCACACACAGGACAACTATCAGGCATCTTTTATTCCTTTTCTTTCCCTCCAACATCTCTAGGAAGAGAGCAAGGACCGGAAGGATTTATCCTTTTGTTCACAGATGAGGAAACTGAGGCCTAGAGAAAAGTCATGAAGTATGTTGAAAGCCAGAGCCTCCTAAACCAGTTCAGACCCTGAGGTCCCCCACATGAAAAGGTCCTTGTGAGCTCCAGGGGTGCTGGTGTCCTGCTGTGTGCACCCCGCCCCCACCTCAGGATCCAGTTGAGTTCCTTGTCCACCAGGACACCTGCTCCAGCTCCCCCACCCGTGGGGGCTGCACCCTCTGAGCAGTCCCAGGCCCCTCTGCACTTTAGCACCACCCTGGGCCCCGGAGGGAAAGCCGGTCAGTGCCCCACGTCTGCTAACACTACAGGGTGTTCCTAACCCCTGCCCCTAGAGAAGCTTGTGGTGGCAAAAACAACCTAAAAGTATTTGTGGAAGATCGATCCAAGCTCCAACCTCAGTTCTGCCACTCCTTTGGGACCCTGGCAAGCCACGCTCCCTCAAGAAGCCTCTTGTGCACAGCAGGGATGTCAAAGCTCAATGAGGATGTGAAGGGCCCTAGGCGTGGTAGCAGCTTTCCCTGAGCCCCAAGGCGCCTTCCTTTCTCCCAGTTTTGGCCCCACTAGCATCCTCCTCAACCACCCATTTTCTGAGGCAAACATTTATCTGCTGCTCCACAGGAGGAAGCCCCAGGCCAGCCGCTGCAGTAGGGCTGGGATGGCCCGGCCGTGCCCTGCCTTCAGCTGCCCACCAGCCTGCACCCCTTCCTAGCCCCACGGGAACCAGCAGTCCCACTCATCCCGCCTCCTCTCCTGCAGTTGGTCCCCCAGCTGACCGGCCACCATGGCTGCCCTGATCGCAGAGAACTTCCGCTTCCTGTCGCTCTTCTTCAAGAGCAAGGATGTGATGATTTTCAACGGGCTGGTGGCACTGGGGACAGTGGGTAGCCAGGAGCTGTTCTCTGTCGTGGCCTTCCACTGCCCCTGCTCGCCAGCCCGCAACTACCTGTACGGGCTGACAGCCATCGGTGTGCCCGCCCTGGCACTCTTCCTCATCGGCATCATCCTCAACAACCACACCTGGAACCTAGTCGCTGAGTGCCAGTACCGGAGGGCCAAGAACTGCTCGGCTGCCCCCAACTTCCTCCTTCTTAGCTCCATCTTGGGCCGTGCGGCCGTGGCCCCCGTTACCTGGTCTGTCATCTCCCTGCTGCGCGGTGAGGCTTACGTCTGCGCTCTCAGCGAGTTCGTGGACCCCTCCTCTCTCATGGCAGAGGAAGGAGGCTTCCCACCAGCCCACGCCACTGAAATCCTGGCCAGGTTCCCTTGCGGGGAGGGCCCTGCAAACCTGTCAGGCTTCCGGGAGGAGGTCAGCCGCAGGCTTAAGTATGAGTCCCAGGTAAGGGCTGTAAAGGGAAGCTCTTCCTTCCCAAGGTGGTGGCTGGTGGGAGGTGCTGGGATGGCCCAGCGTTAACACTGGAGTTGGTCCTCAGGGGATGAGTTTTCTGGGAAAGCAATGCATTATTGGCATCAGGGATTAGAGCTGGTTAAGCTGCAGGTTACTGCTTGGCGGGGCAAGGGTCAGTTCCAGGCCCAAATGAGAAAGGCTGGATAGGCACAGTGGCTCATGCCTATAAACCTAGCACTTTGGAAGGTGGGAGGATCACTTGAGGCTGGATCAAGACCAGCCTGGGCAACATAGAGACCCCATCTCTACAAAAAAATAAAAATAAAAAAACTTAGCCAGGCATGGTGGCATGCACCTGTAGTCCCAGTTACTTGGGAGGCTGAGGTGAGAGGATCTCTTGAGCCCAGGAGTTCAAGGCTGCGGTGAGCTATTGTCATGCCACTGCACTCCAGCCTGGGCAACAGAGTGAGACACTGAGTCTTTTAAAAACAAAAAAGTTTTAAACATTAAAGGAATATTCTCCTGGTTCAGACCGAGCCTTGATCCCAACCACAAATAAGCCCATTACCCCAGCCAATCGAGGCGTGACCCTTTCACGCCACCTCAGAAGTGTCTGGACGGGCCACAAGTTGTCTGGGCCACAAGTTGATAGTGGAGTGCGGCTGGCTCTGGGATGAATGCATTCCTCGCCCAGAAGGGCCAGACCCAGCACTGAATCAGCCCCAGTACTGCTGACTTCAAGGGAATCCCTGGGGTCAGGATGGGGTGTTGAGAGTCAGGAAGAGGCAGTTGCTGCCCTGCTCTGGCCTGGCCTTAGCCGAGTTCTGAGGGAGTGGAGGTTGGTCAAGGGCAGAGGGCAAGGGAAGAGACCTGGGCAGCAGCAGAAACCTGAGCCCTTAACTCAGAGAAGCTGAGGGAGAGACAGGAGGAGCATGAGATATTTTTAAAAGGTCTCTTCTCTTGGGTACATAAGAGACAAGAAACAAAAGTAGATAGAGAAACAGAGATGGAAGATTATCAATAAAACTCATTTAATGCTGATCAGATGCCCACAGAGCTGTGTACAGGAGTGAATGGGGAAACAAGGACAGCCCTGGCTGCCCGTGCCCTCACCAGGCTTATATCGCACGTGTGTGAGACAGGCACTCGGGTGGCCTCCAAACAAGGCACTGGGCCAAGGGGTATTCAGGCAAGGCAGGATTATTCCCAAAGGGGCCTTTGAAGGCTTCCTGGAGGTGGCATTTGAGCCGAGCCGGGCAGGCTGAGCTGGGTTTGGATGGGGTGAGATGATGGCTGGAGGGAGAGGCACCCTTGGGGTTGAAGGAGAGGCAGGAAATGCAGGAGGCAAAGTCTAAGAACAGGGCAAGTGCGAGTTAAAGGGACGGAGGAACCAGCAGCCAGAAGGGCTGGCCTCCCTCACAGCATTTGCCTCTCCTGCCACATCTCCCTGGGGTGGGCAGGCCCGGGCAGCTCCTTGTCCCTCCTGAACCCTGCCCATTCTCTGGCCAGCTCTTTGGGTGGCTGCTCATTGGCGTGGTGGCCGTCCTGGTGTTCCTGACCAAGTGCCTCAAGCATTACTGCTCACCACTCAGCTACCGCCAGGAGGCCTACTGGGCGCAGTACCGCGCCAACGAGGACCAGCTGTTCCAGCGCACGGCTGAGGTGCACTCACGGGTGCTCGCCGCCAACAATGTGCGCCGCTTCTTCGGCTTTGTGGCACTCAACAAGGATGACGAGGAGCTGGTTGCCAACTTCCCAGTGGAAGGCACACAGCCGCGGCCGCAGTGGAACGCCATCACCGGCGTCTATCTGTACCGGGAGAACCAGGGCCTCCCACTCTATAGCCGCCTACACAAGTGGGCCCAGGGCCTGGCGGGCAACGGTGCGGCCCCTGACAATGTGGAGATGGCCCTGCTGGCCTCCTAGGGGTCCACTCCCCGGGCTCTTTGCACTGCTTGGTCCCAAACCGAACCCCACTGCCTGCTCACACCAGCATCCAAAGGGGATTTTCCCCCCTAAACTGGCTTCTTGGGTAAACAGGCCAGGGGTGAGGGACGCAAGGCAATCTTGGGTGCAGAGAGATCCAGTAGACAATGTCGTCAGCTCTGACCTGAAGAAATTCCATCTCCTGTTCCCACCAGCCTACCTGGTCAACAGCTTGGGAAAAGACTCTTTCCCAGAACTGGTCTCTGATTAACTATGACATGGGTGATCTTTTATCGTTGGGACTCCAAGCTGGGATGCCCCAGCTGGCAGGTCCAGGTGACAGTGAAAGTCACCAGTAGGCTCCTTGTACAGTACATTATGCAGTTAACTTGTGTCTAATTGCATAAGGACACCCAGCTCAGCAGTGCACCACTGGGAGGTTGTCCTTCGGTGGATGCCTTTGGCCTTATTTTATACACTTGAATTTTTGATAAAGCTTTTCTTACTATAAGGGACCAGCTTGGTGTCTGCATGATTGAATGGGCCATGCCACAGCAGGCTGGTGGGCATGGGGCCAGGGCCAAACCCCACACGCCGTGGGAAGGAAGGGGACTGGATTAAAATGCCACAGAGGTGGCTACAGTACAGGGAACCCCAGGTGTCACACCCAGGGGAAGGCCATGGGGCTGATCTCTTTGCATTTGGATTCAATTATCTGATTTGGTCTGGGGAACAGATGAAGCCTGGCCTTTCCCAGAGGGAAGCTCAGTTTGAAATTTCTAGACTCAGAAGATCCTGCACTCGGTAGGACAGAGCTAGTTCTTGTAACCCAGCGCTACTAACCAGGCCAGCCCTGGCTCCTCCTTCCTCCCACCCCAGCCCCCTACCTCCACCATCTCCAAAACTTTCCTTGCATATGACTCAGTCATTTCCCATGGAAAAGCTCTCAGGACATTTAAGGCTCTGCCAGAGAAAACTTTTAATTCCCTCAGGATTAAGCCAAAAAAGAACTGGCTTCAACAACTAGCTGGGCCTGTGCTATCCTCCAGGAACTCTGGACTATACCAGATGGGGACAGGTTAGGTGACCTGGCCAAGGTAGGCCTGGGATGAGACATCATCAGCGGTTTAAGCCGATGCCTGTGGCTATCCTCTGCAGCCTAGGTTTCCCAGTTTTCCCTTCTGGGCTGTGTCCTGCTGTCCCGGCCTCACAGCCTCTACTACAGGGTGGAAGGCACTAGCCGAGATGAGGCTGAGAGAGGCCCTGAGACTCTGACATTGTAGGTGAGGGCCCACTCCCTAAACCCTACTGGCCGCCTCTGGCAGGATCAACAGCTTGCCACGGACAAAGTGGGCCTGACCATGAGATCCTTGGGAGTCCGCTCGTCCACTCTTGCTCCCCAGGGAACTCCCCGAAGGAGGGACACTCAGCTTTTATGGGAGTCCCAAGGCTGTTGCCTGCAACCACTGAGCAGCCACAGAACAGGGAAAGGATGACATAAATGGGGACTTAAATAAGCACAGAGGAATTAGAAACAATCTCGAATTCTTTTTCATCCTGACAGCATTCCTCAGGGATGATACAGAAAAAGCAGCACTTAAATAGAGTCCTTAGGCAATAGATTTCAGAGTGTCCAGGCGCTGAGGTGGGGGTGCCCACTGCTGACGGTGCCTGGAGGAGCCCGCCTGCCCCTATTCCTCCAGTACTGAGCTCTTGGCCTCCACGTACTCCAGGGCCTTGGCCTTGACTGCCTGCACGTCCTTCTCTGTGCCGTGCTGCTTCTCATAGTCCAGGTAGCGCTTGAAGAAGAACTTCATTCTCTTGGGGGCCAGGCTCAGATGAATGACCCGCTCAAAGATGTCCCTGTGAAGAGGAACAGGACAGCATTTACCTCCTAGGCCCAGGTCACACAATTGGCTACCACTCACCCGCCTGCTCCTGGGCTCTGGAGCCAGGACCTCAATTATCCAGGACTTCCACTTCTACCTTTTTTTTACTACTATTATGAACCCCCAGGGAGAGGCGCCCCACCCTCACTTGCAGATGAGCAGACAGATACTTGGAGATGTTAAAGGACTTACTTGCCTAAAGTCACACAGTGAATCAGGACAAAGCTACTGGGATCAGGACACACAAAGACATATGGATCTGTGAGAAAAGCTCAGCTTATAACTATTAACGAGCATGGGTGGGACACTTGTTCTTCAGGACAAGTCTACTCACCTCTAACCCCCCCTGCCTTGTGGGTATGCCAGGGCAAGTGAGATTATGCCTGTGAAAGTTCTCGCTAACCAGAGCCAGGCACAGCGTCAGTGCAGAGGGATCCAAGTCTCCTGGCTCCCAGGCCAGGGGCCAGGCTCCCTCCCACTAATGGTTCCAGCCACAGACCGGAGGCTGGCCTTTGGGGCAGAAAAAGTAGTTGGAAAAGTGAATGTCATTAACCCTGGGGTGTCATGGCAAAGCTATTTTTCTATATCGAGTAAGAGACCTGGGGATGCCGGGAGCTGCAAGTCATCAGCTTGGCCAATCAACGCCCCCAACTACCACCGGGGAGCTCTGTCTTCCCCTCTCACCGGACTTCCTTCTGGCTGCCGTGCTTGATGGTCATGTCGATGTAGACCGACCAGACATCTGTGCGTTTTGGGTAGGTGCTCAGCGTGTTCTCAAAAATGGCTTTGGCCCGCTCTGCATCCCCCAGCTGGAACTCAAGCTGGGCAAACTTGGTAATCACATCCACATCTGCAGGGAGAGGATGGCTCAGAGACCCAGCAAGCAGACAGACCCCCTCACCGAAACACAATGTGCAACAGGGACAGAGTGAGTCTGACTCCCCGCTCTTGGGTCCCAAGACCTAGGTTATGACAAAAGAGACAAAGCCCAAAAAGGACAGTGGGGTGGGTTCAGGGCCAAATACACAGATGCAGACACCCTACTCTCTGGGCCCAGAAAAGGTGGAGGTTCCCAGGGACAAGAGAATTAGTGCTGATTGCTTTTCATTCCTCCATCTTTCGCAGTCCAGCATTTGCAACGTAACACGCATTCTTATGCTAGAGATAGCTATGTGCCCGCCACGAGGCTTTCCTGAGAAGCAGCACCGCTCCTGGATGAGAAGTCCCCCTAGCCCCATGTGCTCAGGAACTGGGAATGGGCACTCACGCTCCTTGCTAGGCAGGCACTCGAGGGCTCGCTGCAGCACACGGTGACTGGCCCCGGCCTGGCTCCTCCGCAGGAGAAAGGCGCCATATTTGATCCACACAGCTTTCTCCTGCCGGAAACGCTTCAGCATCCGGTTGTAGAGTTCACCGGCTTCCTGTGAGAAAAGATTGGTAAGCTGAAGAGAGTGTGATGCTACAGAGGGGACAACAAAGAAGACAGGGAGTGATGCTCACGAGAAGCTAGACTTGGGCTCACAGACGCCAAATCGCTGCGTAGGGCTCATTCCAAAGACCCGAGAGGAGCAGAGAGGGAGGCACGAAACGATGGGGCGTTTCCCCACTATGCCTGCGCCCATAGCAAGGGGAATCCCAGACTAGGAGGGTGAGAGAATGACAAGAGAGAACAGGAGAGACAGAAAAGGGGACAGTGGGCTGGGATGTCCCCTTTGACTATAATGCCCCACCAGCAGCCCAAGGCATACACACCGGAGTCTACTACCCCTTTACTTCCAAAGCCACTGCTTCCCTCACGTCAGCCCCACAGCGCCATAGCGGATGTGGGGAAATGACGTCTCTCACTTGGAAGATAAGGAAGTCAAAGGCTGAGGACCCTTTGGCAGCTGACCACCTGGCCCAGACTCTTACCTGTAGCTTCTCTGACTTGGTATAGATGTCAGCCAGGTGTAGATAGACCTTGAGAGGCTCGTTGTACTGCACGGCCCGCTCAAAGACCTTGTTCAGGGACTCCTGAGAGCCGTACATGTTTTCCAGGTTCAGCAGCGCCACCCACACATTCAGCTTCTCCTGCTCTTCTCTGGAGGGAAAGCAGTCGGCAGGTGAGCTCCATCAACTCAGCCCAACAGGCGTCCCACCCCCATCTGGGGGTGTCAGTGAACTATCTCCTCCTCGCAGGCCCTGTCCATGGGCTCGGATCCCACCCCCAAACGCTGGAGCCAAGAGGCCTGTCCCCACGGCAGCTCAAACAGCATCAGGAACGCCCCAACCCTCCCACACCCACAGCCAGCTCTGAGGCTCCCTTGGTTTCTGCTTCCACTCCTGGGAAGGAAGCTCACTACATCTCAAACAAGCCTGAGGTTTGGGCTGGAAGCAAAATCTTGGGTCTGATTCTTTCTTAAAACTAAGAATGAAGCAAAAGACTGCCTTCCTTCACTAGGCTTCAGAAAACGTACTCCTCTCTGCCTGGAAAATGGTTACCTATACGGTTTTCACCCAGGTATGTAGAGAGTGGTTTTCCCTATTTTATTTCTGCTCCAGACTGGGTACCTAATTTAAGTGTAGGGGCTCTTGTAAAGATTACCCTTGGCTATTTCAGTGAAGACTGTAAAATATAAATGAGCAGATCTATTTCACACAGGCCACACCTATGAGAGAAAGCCTGGGAACCCATGGGCCCCTGGTGGCAGCCACCCAAACTGCTGCCAGCCTGCCCGAGAGGAAATGACCCACAGGCAGCAAATCCTGCCAGCCCAGCACTTGGGACGACAGGAGCCTCCCATCTAAAAGTCCCTCCCTAGAGCAGGGGAAGTCAAAGCCTAACCTGAAGGAGATGGTCTTAAGGGCTCTCTCAGCCACGGCACGGGCCTTCTCGATCTCCGTGGCCTGCAGGTGGAAAGCCATGTACTGCAGCCACAGGATGGAGCTGTTGGGGGAGCTCAGCACCAGTCGGTCAAAGTCATCCGCTGACTCCGGCTGTCGCCTGGGATCCATCAGCGCTTCCTCAACGCGGGAGAGCTCTTTCTCTGCCTTTTGCTTCTCCAAATCCCTTTCCTTCTTGCTTTTCTTTTTCTGCTATGGAAGGCAGAAAATAGTGAATAATCTGTTCCTCAAACTCAGGGGAAACCTGAGGTGAAAGCTGCAAGTTGGCAGGGCAGATCATGGCTCTGTACATACCCCTGGCCTGGGACTGGGTGCCACCTCTCGCCCTCCCCCCACTCAGGCTAGGACAGAGCACAGGAAACTGGCACCAAGGGGGGCCTGCAAAAAGGACAAAGCCCTAGAAAATAGTACCGTGGCTTGGTGTGGCTTCTCATCCTCCTCACTGTCTGAGCTCTCTCCTCGAGGTGGCAAGGCTGGCGTCAGAGAGTCTAGGCCCACGTTCCAAGCAAAGCCCGAAGGCAGCTGCAGCCGGGGAGCTTCTGCTGGCTTGGGTGGCTTCTCCTGGAGGACCACAGAGGCACTGAAGAAAGCACGTGGCTCAGGCTGCTCCCTATCCCCAGCCCCAGCCCACCCAGAGGAACACGACCCCCGTGCCATGCCCAGAGACAGGCCAGCTAGGCCCCAGCCCACTGGAGAAGCTTTATTCCAGGAACATAAAAGTTTTATCTGTAAATAAATTTACGTAGGTAACAAACTTTTAAAATATATGTATTCATACACGTATAAAACATCAGGAGAGTTGGGACAGAGATATGACGAAAACTCCAAGGGTGGCAGGGATGCGAGTACCTAAAGTCCGGGAAGCCCTGCCCCGAGGGTGTGAGCTGGCCATACCCAGGCCTCTCAGCTCAACTGTTACTCTCATTTTTCAGAGGATGTGGGCTCAGACCGGCTAAGCCTCCTCTTTATCTGCCCAAGCCTTCAATTTAATTCAGTTCCACTGAATAAACATTCACAGAATTTATTTTATACAGCCTCCTCTCTGTGTGAACAGGGTCCCTGCCCTGGAGGAGCCCACAATGAAGAGAGGAAACTGACAGTCCCCCACAACTTTCATATTTTATAGGAGATGAGGTAAGAGGATGGGGCTGAGGCAGACCAGCTCCTCCTGGCTCCAGGGCAGCCTCTCCCCTCCATTCAACTTTGTCCCTCACCTTGGGTAGCATATCCATCTCTTCCATCGCCTCTTCTCCTTCCCGATAATACACTTCCATGCCACTGTCATCCTCCTCTGACGGACCAGCTTTCTTTGCCTTCTTATTCACTCTTTCCTGAGGTGACAGATGGGTGAATGCCCAGGAGTGCCCTTCCACAACCCTGGGCGACACCCTCTCTCTGCTCCTCTCGCACCACCAGTGCCCAGCCCCCAACTCTCACTGCCCTCACGCCAAGAGGTCAGGCTGGCTTCACCAATGCTCCTTTTCCCGGGGGGGTGAGGCACACCCTCCCAAGGGCCTCACCTGCTCACTTACAGGTGTCTGCAGCTCCCGCTTGCCCTGCGTCTTCTCCTTGCTGGGCAGCCGCGCCGCCGCCGCCTGCCCCTTTTGGTTCTTCTTCTCTTTCCTTTTCTGATTCTTCTCTTCTCCTTTTTGGTCTCTCTCCTTAGCCTCTATTTTCCTCTCCTCTTGCTTTGAAAGTGGCAGTTCCATGGAAGCAGATAACACATCCGGCTTTCCAGTGTCGCTGGGGAGGAACGACAGCTCTACCAGGTTCTTCTGGTGGTTCACGCTACGACAGGACAAGAGAGGGGACAGTGAAGACAACATGCAAAGCAGAGGGCACTGCAGGCAGCCCAGGCCTTCCCCCACCTGCCTTAGGAATCCATTCAGTATTCTTAGGAATGATTTGTACATTTCATCAAGCTTAGTAGAAAATATGGGGGTGGGGCGGTAGGTACGATCCCCCCTTCCATCTCCAACAGCAGAGGTGAGTCACCACATCTGTTTTCAGGGACTGAGGCAAAAGGCTCCAGGCAAAGGTCTTTCATTCACCTGAACACGGCATTCACCACTACCCAAGACATCCTGTTTAAAGTTTACCTCAAAATCTCCTCCTAGGCCTGGCGCGGTGGCTCACGCCTGTAATCCTAGCACTCTGGGAGGCTGAGGCGGGCGGATTGCTCGAGGTCAGGAGTTCGAGACCAGCCTGAGCAAGAGCAAGACCCTGTCTCTACTATAAATAAATTAATTGGCCAAATAATATATATAGAAAAAACTAGCCGGGCATGGTGGCACATGCCTGTACTCCCAGCTACTTGGGAGGCTGAGGCAAGAGGATCCCTTGAGCCCAGGAGTTTGAGGTTGCTGTGAGTGAGGCTGACGCCACGGCACTCACTCTAGCCTGGGCAACAAAGCAAGACTCTGTCTCAAAAAAAAAAAAAAAAAAAAAATCTCCTCCTAGGGCTCCCGGAGAAAGGGGTTTGATTCATATCAGAGTGAGAGCGAAAGAGAGGACACCCACCTTAGAATCTTGGCTGTGAGCAACTTCCCTTCGGGCAGGTATTTGTTATAAAGGGTTTTCTTGGACGGGCTGCACTGGGAAACATGTGGGTATTGGGCCAAACCCACAACCGAGGGGCCAAGGCTGAAAGGAGAGAGACAAGAGTCCTGTGGTCACAAATGCAACAACAGAATTCCACCCAGGCCTAGGGACTCCACCTTCACAGGGACCCGAGCTGCGACAGGGATTTATGACAGACATAAGTTCCTGGCATTCGGCAGGACAAAGTGGGCTGTGTAAACTGGAAAACATGATCAAGCATAATGAAGATATGATTGAGGCTATTTTTTACCCCATGTCACAGCACCACAATATGTAAGTCACAAGTTCCTAGGAGGAAGAGGAGAAATTGAGGAAACACAGCAGCAGACAAAGCTGTAAGTATCTGGTGTTGAGGACATTAGGTGATTTCAAAGAATATTTACAGACCACGATCAAACACTACATCAGAGAACATTCAAGTTTATTTAAAACTGGCAATGGAAATGCCATATTCAAAATGCCAAACAAGAACTAATAATTCAAAACTTTTTAAAAAGTATTTAAAAAATTGGAATTTTTAAAACTCTTAAATAAATCTCTCCTCATAGTCCATCGAAGAGGGATGCAGTGGATGCCAGACCAAGACAGGCCCAGGGAAGGCTCGTGGGTCTGGGTCCAGGCCGAGGCCCCACCTTACTCACCCGACGAGCACGCCGTCTGGCTGCACGGACCTCACGTAGCCCCTCAAGAGATGCCCTTTCTTAATGTCCCGGATGGAGTTAATCTCCGGATCTTCTATTTTGCTTTTTGTCTCCGGGTTTGTTCTAAAGAAATGAAAGGCTTATATACACATACCTTTTAACCCCCGTCGCCCTACCGTTGCCCCTGAGACACCTGTAATAATCACACTGCGCATGTGGGAATACACCTCTGGACCAGTCAGTACTTTCATAACTAGTCATAACTTACAGGGCCCAACTCTACTCTTTCTAAAGGCCTGTCAGGGCAGGGGCATGTGTTCACAAGCCAGCTATGCAGAATAGCAAGTGGTGGATCAAGCCAGAGAGAGGTCAAACCTAAAGCTTTGGCGTTACAGACATCCATTTCTAACCACAGGGCAAACTGACCTCAGGCCAATCCCCTTCATGCCCTACTTGCCCCCACTATGGGAATCCTGGTGGTCCCTCACCAGGACCACCATCTTGTAACCCTGAACACTCACATTTGGATGTCTGACCCTTTCCCTGAGAAACAAGAGCCTGAGTAGACAGGGTTCTTTTAGCAATCTGAATGTTCCCAGCCTTTCTGGATAGAAGCAGCTCAGGGTACAAAGTGACAACAGAGAAGAAAGGTGGGACACCCAAAGTTCTGTCAGACAGATGCAGCCTCCCCTCAGGCCTCTGAGTGGGTCCTCCTCCCTTCCCCGTCCCAAGTACATGGCCACTCACCTGGATGATCGCAGTGACAAAGTTAATACCTCATCTTCGGTGGATAAGACGTAACATCTGGAATGAGGGCAAAGGAGGAGACATAAGACCTTGGTTCTGTTTCCTCATTCTACTGAAAACCTGCTGAGGGACTCTGGACAAGTTGTGTCACCCCTGTGGACCTCAGTTTACTAGTCTGTCAAGTAAAAATAACACTGCCTACTCTTTTTACCCAAGAAAGGTGCTGGGATAAGAAAATAAGAAGAGACACAAAAGCCCTTTGGAAGGCTCAGAGAGCCATGTAGTGTGTACTAAGGAGACAAGACCAGCCCTATAGTAGGTGATGAGAGTGTCTGCTCTCTGCAGGGAGACAGACTAACCACAGGAAGCCACAGTGGAGGGATAACCTGGGTATTACCGAAAACAGACACATGGCAATTCAGACGAGGCAGATCTGTGAGGCCTGAGCAGAGGGAGGCTTCAAGGAGAGAACGGAAGGTTGATTCTTTTGTTGCTTTTCTCAATTTAATTAATCTAAAATGGCAATTAGTAGCCCAAAACCATAATTTAGAAGTACAAAATCTTAGAGATAGAAAAGATCTCAGCTAGATACAGCCCAAATTTTTCCCAGGACAGATGCCTGGCATCATAGCCCTCAGAGCTAGACTGGACCTCAAGGGATCATCTACCTTTGGGCAAGTAAATTTCTTTCTTTTTTAAGAGACAGTGGGGTCTTGGCCCAGTGCAGTGGCTCACACTTGTAATCCTAGCACTCTGGGAGGCCAAGGCAGGAGGACTACTCCAGGCCCAGAGTTTGAGACCAGCCTAAGTAAGAGCAAGACCCCGCCTCTACCAAAAAATAGAAAAAATTAGCTGGGCACAGTGGCAGGAACCTGTAGTCCCAGCTACTCTGGAGGCTGAGCCCAGGAGTTTGAGGTTGCTGTGAGCTAGGCTGATGCCATGGCACTCTAGCCCAGGCAACAGAGCGAGACTTTCTCAAAATAATAGTAATAATGGAACTCTAAACAAATATTAAAAATAAGGCAAAAGAACAAAATAGATTTAGATATATTAGCATGGAAAAGGAAAAGTCTATGATGAACTGCTATGAGAAAAAAGCAAGTTATAGAACAGTATATAAAATGAAATTCTAGGCTAGGCATAGTGGCTCACGCCTGTAATCCTAACATTCTGGGTGGCCGAGGCTGGAGGATCATTGAGGTCAGGAGTTCTAGACCAACCTGAGCAAGAGCAAGACACCGTCTCTACACAATAATAGAAAAATTAGCCAGGCACAGTGGCTAATTTTCCACAGGTGGCAAGCACCTGTAGTCCCAGCTACTCTAGAAGCTGAGGCAGGAGGATCACTTGTGCCCAAGAGTTTGAGATTGCTGTGAGCTATGATACCACTGTACTCTATCCAGGGTGACAGAGCAAGACTATCTCAAAAAAGAAATTCTATTATTACATAAAGAAAAATTATACATATATATCCATATGTATATTTTATATATATTCAAGTCTGGAGAGATAGAAACCAAAATAAAAAATGGTGGAAAATGTTGGAGAAAGAAAGAGGTAATATAAATTTTCATTTTCCATTTCATACACTTGTTTTTTCTGGTACAAAGTCATTCATCATGTCTATAATTTTTAAAACATCCACCAATTCCACGGATAGGTGAAAAGAGGAAGAGTACATGGCTTACCTGACAACCTTCTGGGGGATGAAGTCTTCCAGGGGTGTCTCAGAGTAGGAGTCATTCACATGAAATATACTGACTCTTCCTATCTTCCCAAAGGGGAAGGAGACAGTCAGCCCTTCATTGGGAGTCACCTTGGCTACTCGGCCCATGGCCACCTCCCCTTTCTCAAGCTTGTGAGGACCTGGGAGAAGAACAGACCAGATTCAGGGAAGAGGAAACGAACTAAGACGGGAGCCAGAATCCTGGCCAAGCACAAGCTGGGGAGGGTAGAGGCTGCCCAGGCTCGCTTGAGCTGCACAGGGTGAGTGGACCAGAATGGTCATGAAGACCCAGATCACCATGCCATCCAGTCAAGAATCCCAGGGCCATATAGTGGACAACCCTTTCTGAGGGACTTGAGAAAAACAACCATATAGGTGAAGGTGACTCAGGCAGTGGCAAAGCAAGACAAGCCAGAACAAAGCCCCAAGAGAAAAATTGTTCCAAGAAGCTCCCCCACACCAGGCTTTCTGAGGATTCCAATACTGAGGGCATCCTTCAACCTGGGCAAAAACTGAAGACCCCTTCTCACCCCTTCCCTTCCCTGACCAGGAACCGTTTCATCCCCACACCTATAAGTGAGAGACATAAGAAGGCCTTGGAGGAATCTGGGCCAACCACGGTGGCCCTCAGGGCCTGGCCAATCTGGAACTTCTTATCTGGATGTTTCAGAACCTGGAAGGATAAGAAAACTCTTTTGATGCTTGAAGAAAGGTCTGTCATTTATCCAAAACCATAGCATTCAAGTCCCCATAGCAAGTATTTCCCACATCAAACCCTAAATAAGCACGAGGTTCCTTATACCCACTATAAACCCACACACACCAGACACTGAGTCAAGCTTAGGGTGCCTGGGTCTCCTATCCAGGGATCTCAAGGACACTGACCTTGAAGCTAAGAGACATGAGCAACAAGGGAATTCGCCCCCGGATGTCTGGGGCAAGCTCCACCTCAAGCCATTTCTTCACCACGTTGTACTGGGAGAAAAAGAGGAGAAACAGAGTAGGACAAATCCAAGCATCCCTTCTTGTCCCTCCATTAAGCACAGACTTTCCTAAAACCACAAGGCAGAAAGGGCCCTAATCCCACATTTTTCTAAGGCACAGGAATCCACCCCTATATCCCACTGTCCCTGCCCAAACTTCACTTTCCACCAGCTTCACTCAGAGTCTAGCTCAGAGCCTTCACCTGCCTAGCAGAACATGCATCTTTCCCAGGGTCTCAGCTGCCCAGGAGCAAAAGAGACCTCAGAGATGTCCTTGAGCAGGAGGACCAATCCCACAGATGTCTGTTGCCTCCTCCAAGTTCAGCTGTGGCCAGTGATTGTTAACCATCTCCAGGGGCCAACATTTTCTTTCTAAACCAATTTGGATTTTGATCTTTCAGTATTTATGCAGTGCCCTGTCAATACACACAGCACTTTTCAAGTCAGTTCAATAAAACATTTATCAAGCAGCTGCTATGCCCATGGTATCATAGTGATAAATAAAAGCAAGGCTCTACCTTCAAGATCACTCTATAAGCAGTAAGTCAAATCAGTACGCAAATAACTAGAGTGGCAAGAAACATGTAGGAAGAACAGGCTACAGGAATATATAGAAGAACCAGGAATGAGGGACGGTTATCTATGCTGAACCTTGAAGGGCAGCAGACAACAGGAGTAGAAGGTATTCCAGGTATAGAAGCCAGCATGAATAAAGACAGGAAGGGGAGAAGATAGAGGTTTTCAGAATGTCTGGCACATAAGGTGTAGAAAGTCAGATTATGAAGTGTCTAATGTCTATAGACAGGTAACTAAAGGGATCAAGTGTCAGTGACATGTTCAGAAAGATGCTGATGGGAGAGGAATGTGGAAACAACAAAGAGGTGTTATTCCTCAAGGTCAAATCCAATCCAACTTCCTCTTTGATACGTTCCAACTGGTACAGGTCACACTGATCTCTTGCCTTTTTGAACTCCTGTGCCACTTGGGGTGAAAACACATAATCTGGCACCCAACTACTTTTTCATTTTGCACTGCACCTGAACTTTATAAAAGGCAAGAATCTAGGCCGGGCATGGTGGCTCATGCCTGTAATCCTAGCACTCTGGGAGGCCGAGGCAGGTGGATTGCTCAAGGTAAAGAGTTGAGACCAGCCTGAGCAAGAGCGAGAGCCCGTCTCTACTACAAACAGAAAGAAATCAATTGGACAACTAATATATATAGAAAAAATTAGCCGGGCATGGTGACGCATGCCTGTAGTCCCAGCTACTCAGGAGGCTGAGGCAGGAGGATCGCTTGAGCCCAGGAGTTTGAGGTTGTTGTGAGCTAAGCTGACGCCATGGCACTCTAGCCCAGGCAACAGAAGTGAGACTCTGTCTCAAAAAAAAAAAATATTTTAAAATCCAGTTCTGCATTTATATTTTAAATCTTGCCCTATAACATATTTCTTTCCATTTGTACAATTAATCTACCAACATAATGAATTGTGAGCTGCTTGCTAATAGTTTTGTAAGCCATATTTTAGCTCCCTAATTAGACCAGAAGTTTTCTAGTGGCAGAGGCCATGTAAAAAAACCACACACCCAGCATGGTAGAAAACACAGACTCAAATGCCCAGTACTAATGGCCTTTATCTCCACTTTCATCCCCTTTTCTTCTGAAACAAGGATGGCATCACATTGCAAGGCAGCCACTACTCACCTTCTTTAAGAAGCAAGTGACGGTCTGACCGGCCTGGTACTGTTTAATCTTTTCCATACGGCTAACAGAGTGAGAGTTAAGAGCAGTGTGGCCATCCTCCAGCTCACTGTTTGCAGAAAGGCAATGGTAAGAGTAAATCAACCTCTGGATAAGACTTTGAGTTTGAAACCATCTCCCCCAAGTGGCCATGGCTTGACCATACAGGATTTTCCTACTCATAGCCACCCTCCAACGCCATATTGCTCTCCTTAAAGGAGAATGTTCGTAATACTGGCCTGGGGGCTAATCTTTTCCATTTCATTCATTCACTTAGGTATGAAAAAACTAAAGTAGGTGGCCCACTATAATCTTTATAAAATTTTAATTATAAATCTTTATAAACAAAACTATTTTACTTCTTTCCTAATCCTTTAGCTATTGCTTTAGTTTGCAGAACTGCTTTCACAAATAATCTCTCTCTCACTGATTTTGACAATAATTTCATGTGAATCCAGCAGGGTAGATGTTATAAAATATGTTTTATGCCATTGAACCAGGAGTTGAAGTCAGGGCTTCTGACTCAAAAATTCAGGGGGCTCTGTCTCCTATGGTACCCTTCCATTATCACTGCCTTAATTCTTTTTCTTCTCAGAAAAGCAACAAGGGGATAGAGTGTGAAAATTATCAGCCCACAAATCACTTTGAGGGAATCACAGAACTGCTACCTTTGCTTACCAATTCAAATAATTTCTAAAACAAAATGAATCAAAACTCAATAAAATGGCCAGGCGCGGTGGCTCACGCCTGTAATCCTAGCTCTCTGGGAGGCCGAGGCGGGCGGATTGCTCGAGGTCAGGAGTTCGAAACCAGCCTGAGCAAGAGCGAGACCCCGTCTCTACTATAAATAGAAAGAAACTAATTGGCCAACTAATATATATAGAAAAAATTAGCCGGGCATGGTGGCGCATGCCTGTAGTCCCAGCTACTTGGGAGGCTGAGACAGAAGGATCGCTTGAGCCCAGGAGTTTGAGGTTGCTGTGAGCTAGGCTGACGCCACGGCACTCACTCTAGCCTGGGCAACAAAGTGAGACTCTGTCTCAAAAAAAAGAAAAAAAAAAAAAAAAAAAAACCTCAATAAAATGGAATATGTTAGTAAAATTGTAAAATATAATAGCAAGTGGTGGTAAATGTAGAAAATGGGAACTTTCCTATATTAGTAAAGTAGACATACATCCTATGACCCAGTAATTCCACCCTAGAGAAATCCTAGCCCATATGCACAATGAAACAAGTTCAAGGTTGTTCACTATGGCATTATTTATAAAAGAAAAATTGGAAACAGGCCCAAATGTCCTCCAGCAGTTTGAGAACATATGTAGTTTGGCACATTCACAGGATGGATTACTATTAATATTTTAACTCTGGACACAAAAACAAATAGAAACAAAACAAAATTTTGAATGAAAAAAGCAAGTTGTAAAATATTAAGTACAACAAACCATTTATGTAAATTTTTAAAACTACACAAAATATTTGTAGATATACACACATACACATGTACAGTCGTCCCTTGCTATCTACAGGGAATTGGTTCCAGCAACCCCCATGGATACCAAAATCCAAGGACGCCCTAGTATCTGCATATAACCTACACACATCCTCCTGTATACTTTAAATTATCTCTATATTATTTATAACACCAAATACAGTGTATATGCTATGTAAATAATTGTTATACTGTATTTTAGAATTTGTATTTTATAAAATTGTTGTATTGTTATTTTTTATTATTCCCCCCGACAAATATTTTCAGTCTGTGGTTGGTTGAATTTAAGGATGTGAAACCAACACATACAGAGAGCCAACTGCATACATAACTAAAATATAAAAACATGAGCTGGCTATATATATATATCAAAATAATAATGGGGAATTCATTCTCTGAGGGTAGAGATACCTGGAGAAGACAATATATCCATAAATTTTTATTTCTTAAAACACACCTGCTCTGCAGGAATCTTGAATATAAAAAATAAAAAACCACATGCATAGGATATCTATGTGCCTGGCACTGTAATACGCCACCAACATATATTATCTCTAGTGCTTATACAGTTAGGATGAAGAAATTTATTCGCTCAACAGCTGATATAAGAATGTCTCTGCTTTCTGGACATAACAGGCTGAACTGTGGCTCCTCCCCTCCATACACACACATTCATACGTTGAAGTCCTAACCCCCAATGACAGGGTCTTTAAGAGGTAATTAAATTGAGATTACGGAAAACAGTATGGAAGTTCTTCAAAAAATTAAAACTAGGGCCGGGTGCAGTGGTACACGCCTGTAATCCTAGCACTCTGGGAGGCCGAGGCAGGTGGATTGCTCGAGGTCAGGAGTGTGAAACCAGCCTGAGCAAGAGCGAGACCCAGTCTCTACTATAAATAGAAAGAAATTAAGTGGCCAACTAATATACATAGAAAAAATTAGCCAGGCATGGTGGCACATGCCTGTAGTCCCAGCTACTCAGGAGGTTGAGGCAGCAGGATCGCTTGAGCCCAGGAGTTTGAGGTTGCTGTGATCTAGGCTGACATCATGGCACTCACTCTAGCCTAGGCAACAGAGTGAGACTCTGTCTCAAAAAAAAAATTAAAATTAGAACCACCGCATGATTCAGCAATCTTACTTGTAAGTATATACTCAAAAGAACTAAAATTAAGATCACAAAGGGATATTTGCACACTCATATTCAATGCAACACTATTCACAATAGCCAAGAGGCAAAAGCAACTAAAATGTCCATTGGCAGAAGAGTAAACAAAACGCAATATATACATACAATGGAATATTATTCAGCCTTGAAAACGAAGGAAATGCTGACACACTCTACAACATGTATGGATCCTAAAGACATTATGCTAAGCAAAATAAAACCAGTCAAAAAAGGACAAATACTATATGATTCCATTTATATGACATACCCAGACTAATCGAATTCATAGACACTGAAAGCAGGATGGTGGCTACGAGGGGCAGTAGGGGGTGGGGGAAACAGGAAGTTGATATTCAATGGGTATAGAGTTTCAGTCATGCAAGATGAAAAAGTTCTAGAGAGCTGCTGTACAACATGCACTTGGTTAACAAAACTGTAATGTACACCTGAAAATTGTTAACAGGGTACATTTATGTGTTTTTACCACAATAAAAAAAGAAGGGATTAGAATACAGATACATATAAAAGGAAGACCGTGTGAAGACACAGGGAGAAGACAGCTATCTGCAAGCCAAGGAGAGGCTTCAGAAGAAATAAACCCTGCCGACATCCTGATCTCAGACTTCTAGCCTCTAAAATTGTGAGAAAGTAAATTTCTGTTGTTTAAGCCAAAACACACATACACACACAGGTATGTGTTATCCTTTTCTCTTTTCCCAAAATGATTTTTGGGAAATTGTCTTTCCAAAAAAAGTAAACCCAACCACCCACCAAAAAAAAAAAAAAAAAAAGGGGGGGGCTTACTGAATTAGAGTTATGAGAAACCTCACTGACTAGCAGGAACTCCAGAGATGCCTTTTAAGACTCTTGAACTGTCTTGTTCTCTTTCCTCCTGGCCCTCACACCAGTCTCCCAACACAGGAGGGTGGACCAACAATGGTGGTGTTAATGAGAAGTTCTTAGCACTCTGAAGATCAAAAGCCATTTAGGATTGCAGTGGGTCTTTCCACAGAGTTCACTGACTCATCCCTTATTCATTAATTTAAGATATTTACCCTTAGTGTGAATAAACTATGTGACCTCAACCCTAATTAAGGGTTTAATTAAAGCAAGACATCACATGTCAAAGGTGGAAGATACTGCAGACTACAACCACTAATATGATGAGGTCTCATTTTCACAACAAAGACTGGAGAGGAATATAATCAAAACCTACAAAACTAAGGTAACCACAGAGTAAACAAATAGAAATGTGGGTCATCTACCAAATTTCGTTATTCCGAAACTAAAGGGCTTACTCTGAAGTTCCAAAAGTGTTCTTAGCATCTGAAACTCAATGTCACAGGAATATTTCTCTATCTCAGACATAAGTTTTCTTAGAAACATTATACTTCTATTCTGATCCCTTCAGGATGCTGACCAAACCTTACCCTCTGGAAGTTACTTTGGAAGTCCTTCTATTAACATCACTAGGTGCATAAGACTTACAACCTGGATGGATCCCAGAGCTGACCTTGCAGAGCGTTTCTTATGGTCATACATGTCTAGCTTCATTCATTAAAGGTCTATCAGTTATGAGAGGTTGGGTTCTTTTATGAAAGAAGCAGGAGCATGACCCATGGATCAAAAAAATGCTAAAGGTCCTCTGAAAAAATGATCCCAAACGGGATCCACTATTACATGGAACTTCTAGTTCCCCTCTTCCCAGAATCTCTCATGGAACACCCTTCCGTGCAAAATCTACCAGAGCATGACCTGAAATTCCAGCTCAGCTTCTAGTCACCAAGCAGTAGTCCACATTGAAAGAACAGGTATTCTCGGTTCCATGCTTACTTAGGGAATAAACCCAATAGAAAATTGGGTTGAGGCCAGGCATGGTGGCTCACGCCTGCAATCCTAGCACTCCGGGAGGCCTAGACAGGAGGATTGCTCAAGGTCAGGAGTTCAAAACCAGCCTGACCAAGAGTGAGACTCTGTCTCTACTAAAAATAGAAAGAAATTAATTGGCCAACTAAAAACATATAGGAAAAATTAGTCGGGCATGGTGGTGCATGTCTGTAGTCCCAGCTACTTGGGAGGCTGAAGCAGGAGGATCACTTGAGCCCAGGAGTTTGAGGTTGCTGTGAGCTATGTTGATGCCATGGCACTCTAGCCCTGGCAATAGAGACTCTGTCTCAAAAACAAAAAAACAAAAAAAAAGAAAATTGGGTTAAGAGCAGAAATGTTTCTTATTGTTACATGCTGACAAAGGGAACTGCTATCGGCCTTTAAATTGATACTTAAATCCTCTATACAGCTTTTACATTAATTTTCACATAATCCGTCTAGCCCTAGGAGAGCCAACTAGCCCTACTAGAGAAATAAGATAACTTGGACAGGGAGAGACAAAATAAGGCCTAGCACTGGCAGAACCACGATTAGAACTCAGGATTCCTGATTCCAAAACCCAGGGCTCTCTCCCTGGGACCATGCTGCTGCTATTGTTCCCTCACCTTGGCCGAACACTCAGCTCCGGGATGGTCCGAAGAAATCTGGGGTGACTTATTGGAAGAAACCTGGAGAAATAAATAAGTCAAATTATTTCTTTTATTCTCTACACCACAGTAATCTGGAGATCAGGATTTGTCTCTACTGGACCCCAAACCAAGCTTACGAAACCACCCTGCTGCATGTTGCACCACCACTAATGGGAGATGTGTCAGGCCGAGGTTTCCAGTCTCATCCTTGGCAATAAATAAAGGAGCTGGCTCCTCTGACCTTTTAGGATTATCAGATCAAACCCTGAAAAGAATTTTCCCTATAGACTATACTCCAATTCTTTCATCCTAAAAATGAGGAAACTGAGATCTACAGAGGATAAATGACTTAGTGAAGATCCCACAGTTGGTCACTGAAATTAGAATGCAAATCACTGGCCAGACTTTGAACTCTTTTTCTGCTGTTCTTGTTGTAGCAAGAATTTCTGCCACAATAACACATGTGGTAACTAGATCTAGAGTAAATGAGTATAATTAAGGTGTGAAGTGAAGAATAAATTATAACTGCTGATATATACTACTAATAAATATGAGGCAGGCAACCTGCTAGGCACATAACATACTACATGTTCTCTCTTTTACCCTTCGCAACGGCCCTATAAGGTAGTCACTACCATTACTCTCACTTTACAAATTAAGAAAATAAAATTCACAGACTTCAGTAGTTACTATAAATATCACATGGTCACAGTCAATCTGGAATTCAAACCCAGGTCTGACTCTAAACCCATGCTCTTAACTACACTATGTTCCATGTATAGTGGAATATCATGCAAAAGGATCCTTCGGTGAATGCCTTTTGTTAACTAATGGAACCTACCTACCTTTCCATTCCTCCTCCCAAAATTACGACAATCACCCCCCAAAGCCGGCCCATCCCCCAAAGCCTCCATACTTGTATGTCTTCATGTCTCGCCCACCAATCACTCGGGCAGTGACTGTCTTTCCAACTTTCAGCTTGGTTGTAGGAGAGATGCCCTCTGGAACATCATCTAGAATATGGGAGGCATGGATGCAGCCAATGACACCATCTTCCAGAGTCACAACCACATGGGTGGGCTTAATGGACTTCACAGTCCCTGTGACCATGTCCCCGATAGACAGGGTATGCTTCTTTACAGTCCCTACAGCCAGAGCTGGATCTACTTCCTCATCCTCGTCAACTGTCTCAGAGTCCTTCCGGGTCTGTCTCATGGTCCTCTTAGCAGCTGGCCCCTCAACAGCCAAAAGAAGACCAGTCACTCCTGGTTCTGTGGTCTTGAGGGTAAGGGAAACACCCTGTCCGATGTGCAACTTCTCTGAGTCAAAGCGGAAGGTGTCGTTGAGGTGAGAGGTCAGGGAGAAAGCTGCCAGGTGGCCAGTCTCTACCAAGGAGGCAACGGCGAAGGACTCCTCCAAGTGCTGCACAATCGCCTGGTGTTCGCTATCTTTCTTCAGCTAGGAAAGAGAGAAGACCATCTCTGTTTCTCTTACAGAGCATGGTTACTTGTTCCTGGCCCCACCGGGTAGGGTGGGACTGGGGAAACCCTCTGGAGTCCAGGGGACCCGAGGCTAGTCTGAGCTGGAATAGACAAGCCTTCACTCCCTGGACCTAACTTTCCTCACCTGTATACAAAATTCACGGGGCCTCATCAGAATGTTTCTATGTCATTCTGAATTCAAATTCCTAGACTCTATCCTAGAACTGTGAATATGAATTTAAAAAGTTATTTAGGTGATTGTGATGCACAACCAGGCAACCTCTAACAGCTCTCCAGCTTAAGGACACTGTGGTTTCTGACACTCAGTCTCACAGCCAGGCTCCTCTTCCCCAATTTAATCACCCCTTCAACCATTCAATGAATAGAGTCAATACTGAGAGCTTATTGTGTGCCAGGCACCAAGCCTTTCTTTTCTCAGAATCCAAATTGTGCTCACGCTCTTATATGCCCAAGCTTCAATTAGATGATCAAATGGTAGAGTCCTGCTAGAAAACTTGAGTGACAGGTTAGTATTGCTTTCTATTCTCTATCTTAAAGTCTAAAGATGCTAAGCAACTAGAGATTAAGGATTCTATCTACACTGTACCATACTCTATGCAATTAGGTGTTTAATTAGTCCCTTAAACAATGACCAAATATATCCATCACACAGAGAAAAATACTGATTTTAATATTTCCCTCAAACCCATTCTTACATCACACAAACGCGTAGGAGAGGGTGTGGAGGGCCTGGAGGTCCAAACTACCCACAGACATGCTTTATTTGGTTCATATAATGTTTTTTAAAAAACAAATTAAGTTCTAAAATTTTCAACATTTATTTCAAATAAAAATTCAAATTCTGCTTCCTCTTAAAGACTCAGTAACACTAGACCCAGATATTCTCACCTGGCAATAACCAGACAGATCTGAACAGTCTGCCCCAAGCCAGCTGGGCATTCATTCTCCTGTGTGTCAGAGTCCAGGTCTTGCCACTCCCCACATACAGCCAACCTCGCTCCTTTACAATACTTGCTTGGCCCAACCATAGGGTGACCATATAATTTATCACTTGAACCAGACTGAAAGTCAGCACTACTAACCATACCAGAACAAGAGGTCAAAATTGGGAACGTCCTGGATTTGTCCAGACATATGGTCACCCTAACTATAGGCATCTGAACTAGAAACCTTGAGCTAGGAGCATGGTATGGAAAGGGTGTGTCATGTGACTCCATGGAAATGTAAGTCAGTAGCAAGCTTACCTTTTTAGCTTTTCTATTCACCAAGTCCTGGTGAAGGGAAACATGGACTTCCAACGTCAACATATCAACATTTAAGATCACAGCCTTCTTTTTCTGCCCAGATTCCACCTCCTGCCCTGCAATACAGAACCAAACAGTGTGATCATCCTCCTGGAACAGGTGAAGGAAGAACAGCATCTTTTTGCCTGCAGGTGCCACCCCTTAAATTCAAAAAAGGAAAAACAACATATGTCCTAGGTCTATATGGGCCATAGGTAGGGAAACCAAGGGTCTATCTCCCATAGTTCAAGTTTAGGTGAGCCTTAATTTACACAACCTGATATATTAAGGTAAAAATCTAGGTTTACCCAATGATAACTATTAAAAGATTCATACCTAAACCTTCTTCACTGTGCTGTCAATTGTCTTGATTTGCACTCACACAAGATGGGTGCACCAAAAATTTCTACTGAATCAACTCATCTACCCTATGTATTTGGAAATTCTGTATCTAGGAGAGGGAGCAACAGGAAAGGGTCTCTGCTACCAACCACAAAAGGTGAGACAGAAACACTCACCTGCCCGATGATATTTGCTGGCTCTCAGGACCAAGCCAGGCACTGGGCCCCCGCTGAACAATACAGAGCCATCTTCCAACACCTCCTGCACCACTAGGTCAAGGACCATTCCTGCAGTCATCTCAGCCAGCGTCTGGATCAACACAGAGTCTGCCAGAGACCCAAAGGGAACGGGATTAGTACCACAAAACATTTTCCCCTGGAAGTATGCTGTCACCAGGGAGGACAGTGGGGCACTGCAACCACTGACAAGGTAAAACCACTTTTTACAAAAATGTCCAGTATCCATGAAAACCCTTGTAACAAGCAGAGAGACTTATGCCCCTTGCTAATCCTACCTGATCATAATTCATGAAAATAGCCAAGAAATACCAGGAACACAGGCTTTCTTTTGGTTTCATTTTTCAATTTTCATTCTACTCTCTCAAGCCTCATATGCCCAAATTCCATTAGGCTTCCAACAATCCCACACAATGGTTCAAAGTCTAAAACAGATGGAATATTAATAATAACCCCTCATGGAGTCTAGCAGGTCCCTGTTCCATTTCATCATCTACTATACATCTGCTGGGTAAAGGAATGAAAAGTGAAGAGGTGATGAATTCACAACAAATGCAAACATGAGGCCACAGAACTAAGAGAAATTTTGATTCTGGACTGGCACGGGGTGACAAGGGGACCTCTGGGATTCTTGTAATGACTGTTATCTTAAAGGGCTGTTTGTTTTATAAACACTCACTGAGCTGTACACTTAATGATTTGTGCACTTTATGCAGGTCATACCTCCATTTAAAACAAAAAGATTACCAAATTGTTTTTTATGTTCTAAGAAGCCCAACAACTTACCCCACCAAGTAACAGGTATAATTTACAATGCACACCCTCCCCCCCATACCCCTCCCTGCAACAGGGCCCTGAGGCACCCACCTCGGCTGCGCATGAGGCTGCGCACGCCCTGCAACTCCTCCAAGCACTGGCTCAGGAGGAGGAGACTGGTGGCGGCTAAGTCCCCCAGAGCGCAGTCCGACAGGCGCAATGACAGCAGCATCCGCTGCTTCTCCTCATCCACGTTGGTCACCTTTGCAACTACTGTCTGCCCCTCAACAAAGTGGTCACTTGTGGAGGTCACAAACTTGTCACTCATGATCTGAAGATTAGAGCAGACAGAAAACAGGGAAAGGAGAGATAACCTATCTACTATGCCCAGAAAGGGGTGTGCTGGTGGGAGAAAACGGGACCCAGCAAGTTCACCCCAGCGCTGAGCACAGCTCTGCTCTCCTTCCATAAAAACAGAGGAGAGGCCTTGGCTGCCCAGTCCAGACCTCCAAGAGAGCACTCAGCCAAGAAAGCACATTACTGGCAAGCCAGAGGGACACCAGAGCTGTCTCTGTCTCTAATATTCAATGGCAACCCTCTGCCCTCACTATGCAGGTTTCTGGGGCCCTTTCTTCTGCTCCCATTTTAAACATTTTTCTGGCAGGGGATACAAATCATGTTTCCCAGGCAAAACATCAGAGAGACAGCGTATGGAAAGGAAGAAATATTCACAAATGATCTACGGCAAGAATGAGCTATATGCCATCTGCTCAGCACTGTCTTACGTGACTTTGGTGGTCTCCTCTCCTCTTAGGTCTCAGTTTATTCAGCAGGCCTATCAGGGGTTCCACTACGGGACCGCTGAGACCTTTTCTCATACAATTTGATGTCATGGGAGAGAGGATGACGATTTCCAGGATATTCTGGTAACTTGACACCTCAAAAAGCTGCAAAACCTTTACTTAGCTGCTCAGGAAAATGAATTTCTATGTGTAAACATGCTTAGAGTATAAAAACAAGTCCAGTCATCCTCACACTGGAGATTGAAGTTTTCAGCCTACCCAGTGCTGTGGTGTGAGTAGGAAAGTGGTCCTTTCTCCAGGAGGTCACACAGCTGGGCATGAGGAGCACCAACTGAAGCTCAGCTCCACTCACCACCTGCCAGGTGCTTTGTGTCATGCTCACCCTCAGGGAGCAACCCCAAAAATCTTTCGAAGGTATAAAGTATCCTGCTCTTTCCCCCCCACCTTTAGGTTCCACAACCCTGTTGACTTGCCTCAAAAGCCCTTGTGCATGAAGCTGAACTTACGGCTTTGGGGGCCAGTCCACTGAGACCCGAGGGGAACTGGATGAATACACCATAGTCCTTGATGCTCTTCACAAAACCAATAAGCAGCATTCCAGGATGGATTTCTGAGAAGTTCTTGGGGTCCTGGCCACCTTCTACGGTGGAGACCAAAGCTGGCTTCCTGCAAAGAAGCTAGTGGTACTCTGTCAAGGAATGTTCCAAAAAGAGGCCAGGCCCAAGAGGGTGGGTCATGCCTGTGATCCCAGCACTTTGAGACGCAGAGGCAGGAGGATCACTTGAAGCCAAGAATTTGAGACTATCCTGGGCAACATAGTAAGACCTCATCTCTACCAAAAAAAATTAGACAAGCATGGTGGTGCATGTTTTGAGCCACTACACTCTAGCCTAGGCGACAGAGCAAGACCCTGTCTCAAAAAAAAAAAAAAAAAAAAAAAAGGTGGGAGAGAATGTTCCAGAAAAGGCATATAAAATGTCAATCTCTCCCATCTCTTTCTTCACAGAGAAAGATAGGACTGCAGGCTGACCACTGGCCACTGCAGTGATTCTCTAAGTGTGCAGACCAGCAGCAGCAGCATCACCTGGAACTCACAGCACCACCCCACTACTGAAGCAGAAACTTGGGAGTGGGCCCAGCCATTTGTGTTTCAGCAAGTCCTCCAGGTGACTCTCATGCATGCTGAAGTTTGAGAATCCTTGTTTTATTCCTTTCCTGATTAACTCATCTCCAGATTACTGGAAGGGACCAAAATGGAACAGCTCATCCCCAGGGTTTGGCAGCAGGATCAGCCATGGCACAGTCCTCCACCGTCCCGACCTCCACACCAATGAAGCCTGTTTTCCCACCTCTGCCCATTTCACTCTAAAGAAATTTTCTTTTACATTCCATGAGAAGGGGCAGTGTCCTCCATCTCTGCACACACACAAAGACCAAAGGGAATATTTCTGAGCTCCATATTCCCTGAGGGGGAGAAAAAGTGGAAAGGGAGGAAAGAACAACAGAAGTTACCTAATTAATTGTTCTAACCCAGGGCCAAGCACTGAATGCCCCACGAAGGCCAGATGTGCTACTGGGGCTGTCCCACTAGGCCATGCTCACCTTACTACTTCCTCCCCAACCTCTAGTTCCCCTTCTTCCTGGCGACCTCTCTGGCCACACTGCCCTGCCACATCTGCTGGCAGCACTTCCTCAGTCCTGCTCTTACTTTCCGCAGTGCAGGCTTTGTCACTGGTTTGGTCTCGTGGAGGCATTTCTGAGGTCAACTAGCTGATATTTTTCCCCATGTGGTTTCTCTGTAAGAGCTGAACTTGACCCACAATTTCCCACCCAAGGGCCCATGGCTCCTCCACCTTTCAGTGCTCCAAAGACACCTATCAAGGATACAATATGTCCTTCGCTCCGGCTCAGACACAGGACTCGATGAAGGGTGTCGCCTGCCTGGAGCCAGTGATATAACAGCGGGCCGTTGGCAACGTGGTCTGACAGATGAGGCGTCGGGAGGAACGCAGGGATGTTGTAGGGCAGGATAGTCACCTCCAGCCCATCTTTGGTCTTCTCTAAAACCTTCACATCCACCAACTACCCAGGGAAGATAAAAAGAAAAAATAGCATTTGTCTTGAACAGAGAGTAGCTTAGTGTGGATCAGGAAGGGCTCAGAGGCATCACACTCCAGCACGAGGGATCACTGAGAGGCCAAGAGCAGAGAAGCGACTTTCTTCCAGGCCCCGCGCCCAGCCCCCAGACCAGCATGTATACACGTGCACACACACCAGGATTCCTTTGCAGGCTCACTTCCTTCCTCTCCCAAGTCCCTCCACTGAGTCCAGAAGAAAGACAGAACTGCAGGCTGGTCTCAGGGACCAGAGAGGAAAGAGGGCAGCAGCACACAGTGAAAAGTCACACCATAACAGAGCTTCCCTTTCATAGACTTTTGCCCATTTGTTCCAGCACAGAAGCAAGAACATATAGGAGGTCTTCTCTCAAGAACCCCTCTAGCCCCAGAATCTTACCTAGCTACCTCTACCTTTCCCCTTCATGGGTTCCAATACCCCCTGTCAGTGGAACCCTGCTCTTCACTATAAAATAAAAAACTTGTCCAGAGAAGTCCAAGTACCTGCCCAACGTTAATGACTCTTCCTTTCTTCTGACTGTGTCCTGCAGGCTCTTTCTGTAGTTCTGGATCACTCAACAGCTTGAAGGATAAGAGCATCCTCTCTTTGGATGGCTCACAGTTCAGCACCACAACCTTCACCACCTGGAGAGAAAGCACACACATGTGCTGAGTCCTCCCAGCAGGCCATGCAGTGCTGGTGCCGTCCACTACTGCTGCAGGGGCCTTGAGAGATCCGCCAGGCCCTGGGATCAGATCAGAAGGCAGTGAAAAGAAGAAATGTACTCAGAGTTACACAGAATCCCCGCAAGTCGTTTTTTTTTTTGTTTGTTTTTTTTTTTTAGTAAAAGTAAGACATAGATAACTTTGGTACAACCCAAGCCTTAAAAAATTATTTTTCCATTTGAGGTGATGGATATGCTAAATACCAATTTGATCATTACGCACTGTATACAGGTGCTGAAATATTACACTGGGCCAGGCGCCGTGGCTCACGCCTGTAATCCTAGCACTCTGGGAGGCAGAGGCAGGTGGATCGCTCAAGGTCAGGAGTTCAAAACCAGCCTGACCAAGAGTGAGACTCTGTCTCTACTATAAAAATAGAAAGAAATTAATTGGCCAACTAACACATACAGAAAAAATTAGCCGGGCATGGTGGCGCATGCCTGTAGTCCCAGCTACTCGGGAGGCTGAGGCAGGAGGATTGCTTGAGCCCAGGAGTTTGAGGTTGCTGTGAGCTAGGCTGACGCCACAGCACTCACTCTAGCCTGGGCAACAAAGTGAGACTCTGTCTCAAAAAAAAAAAAGAAAAGAAAGAAATATTACACTGTACCCCATAAAAATGTACAATTAATTTGTGTCAATTAAAAATAACAAAAGCAAAAAGAATATTTTTCCTAGACATGCCCATACTCACAGCCCATATGCACTGCCCCCTTGTGGTGACAGTGGCCTCAGAACAATACAGGTAAAGACTAATATCATCCTCCAGGTTGTGGGCCTGAGGTCCAGGATCTTGCCAGTTTCCGCTAAAACCCTTTGAGGGTTTTTCTCTGTTCTGTTTCCCACCTTCTCCATTCAGCTGGCTCAGGCCCACTGCCCCATGTGCTGTCTTCCTCAGTCTCTTAAAAGGCAGCCCTTCTGCCTGGGCACAAGGGCTCATGCCTATAATCACAGCACTCTGGGAGGCTGAGGCAGGAAGACTACTTGATACTTGAGCTCAGGAGTTTGAGACTAGCCTGAGCAAGAGCAAGAACTTATCTCTACTAAAAACTGAAAAATTAGCCAGGCACCATGGCACACACCTGTAGTCTCAGCTACTTGGGAGGCTGAGGCAAGAAGATTGTTTGAGCCCAGGAGTTTGATGTTACAGTGAGCTACGATGATGCCATTGCTCTCTATCCCAGGATAACAGGCGAGACTGTCTCAAAAAAAAAAAAAAAAGGCAGCCCTCCCACTTATTACTCCTTCAAATTCAAATCTATGTTCCTGGGGTGACCAAGGGTAGGGGGCTTGTCCAGGGGGAGGGTTACCTGGCCAGTGTAAAAGACTCTCTCTGGGTCAGGGATATACTCAGCACTGAGCTCGTGCTTGGGCACCAGTCCCTGCACATCATTGTAGAACTTGACAATGCAGCCATAGTCCTTCACCCTGATGATGAAGCCATGTGTCTGCAGACCAGGCTTGGCATCAGCATAGCAGGTAATGGCAGGTAGTTTGGACTCAACCAGGGTTTTCTTCAGAGTCATCATTAGCTTCTTGTCTTCGGAGTCACAAAGCAATACCTAGGGGAGGGATAATGGCCATCATCAAGTTATCTGTTATCAAGAGAGCCACGAGCTGGTCTCTGCAACCCCCTAAACCCAAAGGCCATGGGCCATTGTCCAAGAACCTGCTACCTCTTTTCCTCTAATAATCTCAGCTGCAGATTCTCCCTGTTTCCTGCTGGATGACAATCTAGGGCATATTAATCGCTATTTCAAATGTACTTCCTCCTGGCCACAAGGCAAGACTCATTATCTTACAGCACCTCTGCTGAGTCTTGTGTTACAATAACTTCTATACCGCCTTAGTTCCCTCATGGTGGGCTTTGCATCTAGTCTGACAGATATTTGACTGAATCAATTTACCACCTCAGTACCATTGTTTATTACCTATAAACTAAGACCAAGAGATCTGGCTGGGTGCAGTGGCTCACGCCTGTAATCCTACACTCTGGGAGGCCGAGGCGGGCGGATTGCTCGAGGTCAGGAGTTTGAAACCAGCCTGAGCAAGAGTGAGACCCCCCAATCTCCCTAACTAAAAAAAATTTAGAAAAGAAATTTAATCCAACTTAATAATTAATAATAGAACATTAGCCGGGCATGGTGGGGCACATGCCCTTGTAAAAGTCGCCCAGCTTTATTTTGGGGAGGATTGAAAGGCCCAGGAGGTTGCCTTTTGAGCCATGAAGTTTTTGAGTTTCCTGTGGAGCTGGCCTGACACATGGCACTCAACTCTTTAGCCTGGCGACAAGCCAGAACTCTGTTCTCAAAAAAAAAAAAAGAGATCCAATACTTTTCACCCTTCAGCAAGGTCAACCCTCCTTGCGAGGAGAAAGAAACTCCTCCCCCTTTTTAACCTTGACCCCATTACTAAAATTATCAAGCAACCAAGGGCGGACTGTTACCCTTTTTTTGCCTGAGTCAAATAATGAATTGGGAATGAAATGAATATAAAAGCAACCTAACAAATATTGGAAGTGCCTATAACATACCAGGCCCCTATGCCGAGCAACTCTTTGTGCGTTAATGATTCACGTTTTTATTTTACAACCTATGAAAAGCTTCTCTTGCGATTCAAGCCCTTTTTTGTTATATACCCACAAAATCTTGGCAGCTTTATCTGGCTATTTCTGTGCCTATAACACACTCCATTGCTCCTCCCAACTTCCAATTTTTTTACCATTATCCCTTTCTAGCTCAATTCCACCCCAGCCGAAAGCTAGACAACCAATTTCTTGTTTACACCAGAGCTGAATGTTAAAAACTTGTTCTTTTACTTTGTTTAATTGCTGGTGTGACTTTAAAGGCAAGATACTTCACTTTCCTAAGCTTTTAAATTCAACTTGCAAATGAAGATAATAGTACTTTAATTTATAGTTGTTTTTAAGGATTTACAATGAATTAAATTAACACATCAATGTGCCTAGCTAACAAACTAGCACAGAATTGCCGTTCAGTTAGCAGCCAAGTTGCCATTGATGAATGTTCACAGCTCAAGCCTGCCTGGTCTCCCTTTCTGAGATGGTGTCCATAACATATCCCCTACCCTAAACCATGTGGCAAAAAAGATCACACATTGGCCCTTTTTTTCCCTCAACTTCATTATAGATAATTTTCCACTCCCAATTAAACATCACAACTCTCAGGGCAAACAGGGGACTTTTTTACTTTTTCTTCTTCCATGCCCCAGGGCAAGCAGCACCTCACCACGACCTGCAAGACGTTATGTGGCTCACTTTTTGTGGAAAAGGCAGAAAATTCCCAAGCTGAGAACTGCTCTTCTACCCAGTTTCCAAAACCCAGCCAGAGACCCTGAAGCAGGGACCTACCCGGCACTTGAACCTCGTTCCAGGCGTGGTAAACTTTTTTTCTTGGATTTCTTAATCAGGATGCTCAGCCAGGGCATGGCAAAAGGTTTTACCAGGCCCCTTATATGGCTTGGCCCACCTTTCAAACAAGCATCCAATATGGCTTTATTAGTTTTAGTTACTGTGGCCCTAGAAGCCCAAAAGAAAAGACAACCGGAGCCTCAAGAAAGGTTTTGTTCCCCCAATTCTTAATACAATCCATGGCACTATTCTCTTTTTGAAAGCACAAACCTCCTGAGCTTAACTATTGCCCCCCCCTTTGTTTCCAGAATTTTTCAAGTGAAGTAAGCACACAATCCCCACAGTGGATCCCTGATCGTTTAGCCAATGTTTTATTCTTACGGATCCTTTCCACATCTTTTTTGTGGGGAGCATTTTATTTTTTCGTTGTGCTCACAAGTTATTCCTAAAAGATGGGAAACTCATGGTCTCCTCCCAGGTATAAATTTACATATAAAAGGAGGAGGCATCCTTTGGATAGAGCCACAAAGGGTTAGAAAGGGAGAGAAAACTGGAAACTGGCCTTGTCACTAATATTACTAGGAAGCCAAAATTATCAGAGTTACTAATTTTTTTTTATTGGTTCTAATAAGCATAACAAAATTCAACCCCAGGAATTTAATGAAAATCCTATTGCTTCTGTGTAGTCGGGTTGTTGCCAAGTAACGACTTTACCTACCTTGAAAATTAAATACAAGTTAACCCAAGGGGAAAGAGAGAAAAAAATCCCAGGTTACACGGTCCAGAGGCAAGAACAAATAAACTTTCCAATGTTGTTTACAATAAGGACTAATGAAACTGGACAGAAACTATGAAAACCAAAAAGCAGGCCTGACAGTGGGGGAAAGGGTATCTAAAATTGGGGAGAGGATTCCCTTATTTTTGGGGAGTTATCTATCTTGAAAGGTCTTTACCTTTTACCACTGCCCCAGGGGTTTGAATGTCATGGAAATTAAGCTAAGGGTACTTGAAGCTTCAAAATAAAGACCACGGACCAAAGGAAAAATAATTAAATAGGCAGAAAGGGGGTTGCTAAACTTCGGCCTTCCACAATCATGCTGGTGAGAAAGGGGAAAAGCTCGAACCAACCACAGCCAGGAGAAACCCGAAATAGCATACACGCAGTGCACATCGTTCTACGCCCCACGTGGTTTAAGACACACTTACGGTCCGCAAGAGAGAAAGGTTAAGGCCAGTTTTCATCCATTTTGGGCTTGTAGCCCATAATTTTCCTACCTTATTAGTGGGGGTTCGCCTGGGGCTTTGAACTCTCAGGTTTTGAAGGTGTTTCTTTTTTTAGAATCAGAGAGATGGCCTGAGCTGCAAAATACCAAGTAAATTTAGAATAAGCCATAGGCAATGAGGCCTAGGCAAAATCAGAAAATTATAAAACACACCAGATGACCTTCAAATAACATTATCATCTTACCATAAAACAATACTTTTTGCCTGGGTAAATAATCTACTCACTTAAGAAAACTTGCCTTTTACCATTATAGAATCTCCAATAGGGGTCAAGTCAAGGTAAAACTACAGCCCAGTGGGCCATTTTTGTCAGCAAAGTCCTTTAATTGGGAACACAGTCTCCATTTCACTTTATAAATTACTTGTCCCACAACTCTTTTCATACTTGTCAACAACATAGTTTGAGTAATTAGGACAACAGGACATAATGGAACAATATCCTAAAAAAATTTAATATCCAACCTTTAAGAAAAACTTTTGGTTGATCCCTGGGGTCCTTGATCCTAACTCCTCTTAACCTTTAACCATTGACCAATATCAATACGGCAAGGTTGTTTCTAAGGCATTCTTAATGTAACAAATTAGAAAAGCCAGGGGGGTTGGCAAGTTGGGGGCTCACACCTATAATCCTAGCATTTCAGAGGCTGAGCAAGGGGAGGAATTGCTTTTGAAGCCCAGGGAGAAATTCAAAAACCAGTCCTGACAAGAGGAAGAACCCCATTTTTCCTTATAAAAAACCAAAAAATTAAGCTGGGGCAATGGTAAGCATATACATGTAGTCCCCAACTATGGAGGCTGAGCAGAGGATTTTGTTTTGAAACCTGGGAGTTTTAGGCCACTGCAGTGAAGCTTTTGATTGGTGCCATTTGTAACTCTAGCCCCCTGGGGCAACAGAGGCAAGCCTGTCTTAATAAAAAAAAAAAAAAATAGACATTGTTCCTAATCACTATGAAACAAAGTCCGTCAATTGGGGGAATATCAAAATAAATCAAATGTCAAGTGGATAAGGAAGCAGAAGACCCTGGGGGTTTTGTTTCAAAACTCCTTCCAGTTGATACAAGAATCCCCTGGACCAAACAAAGGAAGCCACCTTACGTTGCCAATAGGCAGAAATCCATCCTTCAAAAGTTGAAAAATGGCCCCAGCCTTGGGTTTGAAAAAGCCCTGGACAGGAAAAACGCATCTCAGCACAAGCTTGCCAGGTTGCATGGCAAGACAGCGGGTAAGTGGGCCGCCCAGGGTTGTAGGAGATAGGGCGCAAGCTCAGGCGCAAACAACTCTTGGGTCCGAGGATTGGACACAAGAGGATGCAAAGGCTGAACCAGAAACGAAAGAAGGCAAAAGATTTGAGCAGGAGGCCACATAGTACACACCCCTGGGGAGACCTTCCTGCAGTTCAGCCTCTCCAATGGTGCTTAAATTCAGGTAATACTAAAATTCTTTTAGGCATGTTGAAAATAAAATTTGGCTTATACAAGCAAGCAAGCATGGGTGGAAAAGTCAAAAATTTTTGTAATCCCAACATTTTTGGGAAAGACCGAGAAACGCAGACTTTGGTTTTTGAGGCCAGGGGTTTTTGACCAGCCCTGCGGAAATACAACGAGACCCTCTGGGTTTCTTTACAAAAAAAAAAAAATTTAGTTTGAATGGGTGCCATTGCCCGTAACGCCAGCCTTTACTTGGGGAGGCTATGGAAAGAGGATCACTTGGAAGCCAAAACAGGAAGTTTCCAGGGCTTGCAGTGAGCTATGATTGGGCCCCTCTTGTAATCCAGCATGGTTGGGGGACAAGAGGCAAGACTGTTTCTTTAAAAAAAAAAAAAATCAGATAGTGGGGAATTTGTCCTCCCCATATCCACGTTCCCATCATGTAGAAAGATGTGAATAACTTAAAAGAATAGGGGGGGAT